CATTGTAACCCAGACAAGTTGGAGTGATGTCCAAATGGTTAAAATGAAAGTATAGGTATCTGTTTCGATCACGTTACATAGCCACGGTGAGATAAGATTGCATGTCGTTTTCTCCCCGGCCGGGACTACGGCAGAATAATCTAATAACAATGTTAATACCCATAACGAAACGGATGACCGGACAAGCGCTTACAGATGAAGACCAATCGGACATAGACAATAATACCAAACCACAGTAAGATAAGATAAAGCATAAACTGACGGAAGTTATTGTTTCCAACGCAGTTGTTTATCCATGGGCAATGGCTGAGTAGCTGTCAGAAATCTATAGTGTCATTGAAGGGATCGGAACTTACTGGTCCTGTTTCGACACACATCGCTTGCATCGCCTGCAATGTTTGCTCCTCAGCGGTCTCCTGATCATACAAGGTACACAAAAATGATCCTCATCATAACTCCAATCATTAATAAGGTCCGTTATGACAGCTTTCTGTTCGTTTCTGCTGCTTAGTTTTGGCACAAATCCTGGGTCTTCAATCATAGCGCATGTGTAAAAGTATATCATAAATGCAAACAGAACGAGAAAAACTAAATTCAGAAAGGGAGAAGTAGAGTAGGTATCTAGGCTCAGGTTAGTTAATGCCGCTTGCTAATTCAGTACAACCTAAAATAGCATAAGATTGTCTTACTAGGTAGGATAATGTGCAACCATCGTAAAGCAACCCAGAATGCAGATGCTGAAAAGACTCCCGCCGGGAGCGCCTAATCAAAGAATTAGCATTTCATGAGAATAGTCGGGGATATAATAGAGCAAAGAGACGTACCGTCCTCTGAAGTACTCTAAAATCCAATGGGCCTTTTTTCGAAACCCATTTTATAAGCAAATGAACACCAAATATGAATAAAAGCGTAAACAAAATAGAGACGTAAATCGACAGAGAGCTCAGGATGGTGACAACTGCAGGCAATGCAGCAAACGGTAAGAGAAAATAAAATCTGGACATATGCTGCGTCGATCGCAATATATGGCCTATACTAGATGGTGCAGCGGAGCTGGTTCCATCCGGCTTATATCCGCATTCTCCCAGCGCATGATGCCATATATGAGTCGTCTTCATTTCGTCTGCAACAATCGACGGGGTTTTCCCTTCCTTTGTCTCCGCGAACCTATCCGCACCGTATTCTATTATCTTTTGAACGCAGCCGGTAGTTCCTTTAACTAAAGACCAGTGGAGCGGTGCAAGGCCTCCTTCATCCGTAGCATTCACATCCGCACCCCATCTTAGAAACACGTCAACACAAGATGGAAATCCCTTGTAGGCCGCCCACATGAGGCCTGTGTGGCCCTGAGGATCGGTAACGTCGACCGGAATCTCTTGGTGGAGGAGCAGGACCAGCAGGAATGCGTTCCCGTCGAAAGTGGCCAGATGCAGGATATTAAAGCCCTGGATGTCCGTCAAGAGGGGGTCTGCTCCGTATTGGAGTAAAAGGTGGACGATATAGTGGTGGCATCTCTGAGCAGCCCACATAACAGGTGTTGCTACCGACTCTCCGCCCTTCGCATTGACATCAGCACCGGAATCGAGAAGGAATTTGCAGAGCTCATAACGATTATTTATAGCAGCCCACTAAGTAAATAAAGAACAATCACAAATCAGCTCTGACTCTTTCATAACGTTTCAGGGCGATTCCAGCATACATGTAATGGAGTTATACCCTCCTCGTCACGATAGCTAATATCATATTTCCCGCTGTCGAAGAGCTCCTTGATCGCAGTTATTTCGCCGAGCCTGGCCAGCTGCATTATATCTAGCTCTAGAGCAATCGCCTCTGCAACTCCGATGGGCTGCATGGCGTTCAGTTCAACGGCATTCGCGGTGTCTGGCGGTAAAGGAGTTTTACCCGTGGAACTTGTAGCTGAGGACGACCTGGTGGTAGGCAGCGGTGAGCTACCGGGCCCTCTACTGGAGGACATGTCGGCTGAGTCCAGGGGCGTTCAGTTCTTGCTGGACATGGCGAGGCCGTCTCGTCGTCTCATGAGAAAAAAAGTTGATCTTCAGTTTTTGATGTCTACGATTTCTCCAAGATAAGTTTAGCGCTTGCTCACTCAGCCTCATCTAGATACGAAGCCATTAGAGAGAAAGATGTATATTCTGGGCATTCCGTCTTCAACGATGGGCAGTCATTATTTTTATATAGAGAAGGCTTCATTCAGCTTGATATATATAAGATATCCCCGGCTTAGCACTCCTTACAGTCTGTACTATCGCTAATCATCGATCCCTAGTCGTCGATGCGGCTCAACTTAGCCAGGCACGAAGAAGGAAAAAAAATCTCCACGCCAGCACCTCGGACATGTAATAATAAGTGTTATAACAGTTGCTAATGATTGTTCTAGGAGCTAGGAGATACGTAATTTGAAACTGTTCTCTTCTCTTCTTCCTACTTTTTTACTACTTTATATATAATGGCAACGCCTCCCATTGTTCCACATCAATACGATAGCAGGCAGAAAAGAACACATCACTTTTCCTAGGTCAGCAGCACCTCTCATATCAAGTCATTCAATTTCATAAATAACATGGATTATCTTTGAATATCAAAAGCTCTTCTTATAACATAATGTAGCTGAGATAGGATTGCTGACTAATACAAGGAACTTTTGAAGCTTCCAAGTTCATCTTCGAAACCTCGACTTTTTACATCGACCAGCTTGAATCTCTTTGGCGATGTTCCCACGGCCTTTATAGCTGTATTTATTCATTTTGCCGCGCGTTATGTGATTACTATACCCGTCGCCTCAACCCGAACCCTCCCGACCATATCCTAATCCGGCCCAGGCGACGTTCACGATGGATGTCAAGACCTACATCTCAGACTCACTCCTTCAACTTACTGGAGTTTCAGATCCTACCGTTGTCGATTTTGTTCTTGCTACCGCGTCAAAGGCCAAATCGCCGGACTCACTACGTGAGCAGCTTGGGGTCTTTTTAGATGGCGGAAATGGAGATATACAACCGTTCTGTTCACAGCTATGGAATCGGGTAAATCCATCGAGGCGCGATGGCAAGTCGACAAAGGACACACCAAGTCACCAACAGTCGAAGAAGAAATATCGATTGATTGAAATGGAGGACGAAACAACCGACCATGACCTCAACGTTAGCAAACCCCGATCGAAAGAGTCTGGGTCGTCACGGTCTCGATCCACACCAAAAAGTAGAAGTGATGGAGGTAGTGAACATAAGAAGAGGGAGAGCCACGCTGATGGACGGGAGTATAATCGACCAAGAAAACTTCGGCGCATAGACGAGCAAGATTTCGCCAGTCGCTGGGGGGATGAGGAACCACTTTCGGGCGAGGACGAAGCTGAAGAGCAACTCATGCCTCCTCCACAAACTTCACGGGATAACATCAGCACTTCTCATGCTGCTGAGTCGGACGAACAGTCCGAAGAAGACCCCGAAAAAGCTAGGGAACGTGACAGGAAAGAAAGAGACGAATTCGCAAAACGGTTAAACTCGAAGGACGATAAACGATCCAAGAAGCTTGTTGAAGACAGGTCGTCCAAAAAGGATGGCGGTATGGCTGCGCGAAGGGCGCTTGCGGAGGATTCGGCCGCCAGAGCCGCCGCGATGCCAGATCTTCGACTACGCTCTCGACAGGATTATTTAAAGAAGCGAGAGGCCGAGCGTCTAGCTTTGTTACGCAAACAAGTTGCAGAAGAAACAGCGGAACTTCGCGAAAACCCTGATCTAACACGACAGGAGAAAGAAGAGTTTGCGAAGAACAGGGAAGTATTGAGACTTGCAGAAGAACGTTTGCAAATTGATGACCATCGGGATGGCTATTTCCTTCCAGAGGACTATATAACGGAGAAAGGGAAAATAGATCGGAAACGAAAAGGAGAAGCACTCTATAAACGATATGTCGACCGTGATGAGCATGGCAAGGAGCGTTTTGTTACCGAGCATGAGGAATGGGAGCTTGAACAGACGGCAAAGGCTAAAGCGCAGGTTCAAAGGGCAGAATTTGTTGATGAAGGAGACTACGAATATGTTTTTGACGATGCACAAAAAGTGAATTTTATTATGGACTCAAAATTGGCTGGTGACCGTAAGCCCATGACAAAGGATCAGATGCTTTTGCACAAACAAATCGATGCGGCCGAGCAGAAGGCAAAGTCAATTGAAGAAACCCGGAAAAGCCTACCGATTTATCAGTTTCGAGAGCAAATCCTAGATGCAGTGGCTAATCATCAGGTTCTAATCATCGTTGGTGAGACTGGTAGCGGAAAAACAACCCAAATTCCACAATATTTACATGAAGCAGGGTATACAAAGGGTGGTTTAAAAGTTGGTTGTACCCAACCACGTCGAGTTGCTGCCATGAGTGTCGCTGCGCGTGTTGCTGAAGAAATGGGAGTTAAACTTGGAGATGAAGTAGGATACTCGATCCGATTTGAGGATACTACCTCTGACAAAACAGTGCTGAAGTACATGACTGATGGTCGTTTATTACGTGAATTGCTTATGGAACCAGACCTGGCTTCATATTCTGCCCTAATGATTGATGAAGCTCACGAGCGTACTGTCCCAACTGATATTGCTTGTGGCCTGCTGAAAGACATTGCAAAAGCTCGACCAGATTTGAAGCTCCTTATCTCATCCGCTACAATGGATGCACAAAAGTTCCAGAAATATTTTGACGATGCCCCGATCTTTAATATTCCTGGCCGCAGATACCCCGTCGATATACATTATACATCTCAACCAGAGGCCAATTACCTAGCAGCCGCAATCACTACCGTCTTCCAAATCCACATCTCCCAGGGCCCAGGGGATATATTAGTTTTTTTGACAGGTCAAGAAGAGATCGAGTCAGCGGAACAAAATCTCCTAGAAACAGCCAGGAAACTCGGAAATAAGATCAAAGAGCTAGTAGTTTGTCCTATTTATGCAAATCTACCGTCTGAGCTTCAGACAAAGATATTCGAGCCTACACCACCTGGCGCCAGAAAAGTTGTACTCGCTACAAATATTGCTGAAACAAGTTTAACAATTGATGGCATTGTATACGTTATTGATCCAGGGTTTGTGAAGGAGAGTGTCTTTAATCCTCGCACTGGCATGGAAAGTCTTGTTGTCACCCCCTGTTCGAGGGCATCTGCAGGTCAACGAGCCGGTCGAGCCGGTCGTGTTGGCCCCGGAAAATGTTTCCGCCTGTATACCAAATGGGCGTATTATAACGAACTTGAACAGAACACCACCCCAGAGATCCAGCGCACAAATCTCAGTGGTGTAGTGCTCATGTTGACTTCTCTAGGGATCACCGACCTCCTTGATTTTGATTTTATGGACCCGCCTCCGGCTGAAACATTGATTCGTGCCCTTGAGCAACTCTACGCACTAGGTGCATTGAACGACCATGGAGAGCTTACAAAAGTTGGCCGCCAGATGGCAGAATTCCCGACTGACCCAATGCTCTCAAAATCTATACTTGCAGCAGATAAATACGGCTGCGTTGAAGAAATTCTATCCATCATTGCCATGTTGGGTGAGGCTAGTGCCTTGTTCTACCGGCCTAAAGATAAGAAGATCCACGCAGATAGTGCTCGTGCTCGGTTCACTGTCAAAGACGGGGGTGACCACCTAACTCTACTCAACATATGGAATCAATGGGTCGATTCGGACTTCAGCTACGTCTGGGCAAGAGAAAACTTTCTTCAGCAGAGAAGCTTAACGCGCGCCCGCGACGTCAGAGATCAGCTTGCCAAATTGTGTGATCGCGTCGAAGTAACTCTCAGCAGCGCAGGAGCAAGCAACCTACCAGTAATACAAAAAGCAGTGACGGCAGGCTTCTTCCCCAATGCTGCAAGGCTTCAACGTGGAGGAGACAGCTATCGAACTGTCAAGAACGGCCAAACCGTTTACCTCCATCCGTCAAGCACGCTGTTTGGTGTAGATCCTAAATGGGTTATCTACTTTGAGCTCGTATTGACTAGCAAAGAGTTCATGCGCAGCAACATGCCACTGCAACCAGAATGGCTAACGGAGGTTGCCCCCCATTACCACAAGAAGAAAGATCTTGAGACGCTTGGTTTGGGTAAACCGAAGGGGGCAAATGCTGCAGATAAAGCCAAGCCATAGGGCTAAACTGTTTTGCTCATTGAATGTATGATCACAACCATGTTATATACCATGTATTACCATAATAGAACCAATAACTCTTTGGTAATGCATTTTACTATATATTTCTATACAACATCCAATGCTCAGTCTATGTAAATACTTGCTGGGTTTAAGAGATAATATTTTGAGCAGATAATCATACTTTTTAAAATAGCTAATCCGAATTATGTGGTGAGAGTCAAATTGAATAAATTGACTTGACAGAAGAACACTTTTTATTAGAGATTACATGGCTTTCACTCTAGTTGTGATTATAACTAGAGGCCCCAAACACCCCAGGCGAGGAATAACTATTTGCTTTGTCCATTAGTAAATCATTGTTAAGGGTAAATATATATGTTCGAGCTCCAGAACAGATGAAATTGAGAAGCTATATGCTTGTGATCCCGACTACATATACCGGCTTTCCATCCGACCACAGCCAAACTAGTCAATAAGCCTATTGTTCAACCCCGCGGCCATTTCCAAGTATTTGTAGGTCCGTTCGTGACGGGGATGGTGACGGAGCAGGAATGCGTCAAGTTCCAGGGTGCCAAAACGATTCACACATGCGAGAATAGAAGGAAATCATGCCTATCAGATATCCCAGTTACCGTGATCCTCAAAATATTTCCCCTTTGGGTCCTGCCCTGTGTCGAAACTTCCAAGGGTTTAGGTCTGAGCTTCTGAGAGGCGAAAATATCGCATGGTGGGAGTACCCAGTAGTCTGCACGTCTCTCCCTCGCTCGACTTGACCGCAACAATAACGTATCCATGTTCGTCTGGGCCAGTGGCCACATTTCTGATATATTTCCCAAAGACCCTCACAGCTCCTTCGGCGCTTTTTCTGCAAACAAGTATTGCTCGGACCGACGGGTCAACTACTTCAAAGTTTTTACCAATCGTCTGATGAGGATCCAGAGCAACCCTTTCCCCGGCCTACACCACGGTTAGCTGATCATCACTTTAACACTAAAAACATTCTCTTACCAACTGCGAAGCCTTGTCTTCGAGACTTGCTGTGTCTCTGATGTCATCATCAACCGAAAGTATAAGGCTTTCTTCCATTGTTTCAAAGTGGACCCTGACGTGGCTTTGAGGACTTAGATATATATGGAGCAATGAAATGAGCTATAGCGTTTGTATCGAGGTTTTATATAAATAGTCTGTTGGGCATCAAAACTTCGAGCATTTCCGAATATTTTGTGGTGGGGTTAACTCTTCAGCATAAAGTAAATCCGAAGCATGTGGCTCAGCGCAAGCTGCGGGTTAGTAACACTATCAACTATTATGTACAGAGTACTACTAGGCCACACTGTATCAGTAAGCAAGCATGTTTCATCTGTTGTACTTATCTAGTAAGCCTCGTTTCGGATGAAGGTGCGAGGACGGCCTGGTATTCTATATTTGATCTATCCGTTGGCCAGCTGGAAATCAAAGCCTCGAGACAACCTGCGATGGCCAAAAGTATACTACATAGTATGTATCTCCGCTGGTATTCTATAGTAAACGATAAACGCGCTTCCACGGCGCCAAAGAAGGTTCCAACCTTATTCGGAACATGTTTTCGGGAAAACATATTTCCATTTACCCAGTCCCGACGTCACCTCCTTGGCAGGGATGAATTTCTTGCACTCTGCATATTTATCTTTAAAGACAATACATCAGACAAGCCTTATAACCTGCGATGGAAACAAGCCCAACCACTATGAAACGTCGGCTTCTCCATGGAGAGATTTCTTACTCTGCAGCCAAGGATAAAGAAGTCAACCTTCTTCATAGACTTGAATACTTCGAGAAGCAGAGCCAGTTTATCACGGACCTCGCCGGCAGAGAGCAATGGATTAAGGGCGTCGTTGCCCATCATCTGAATATTGACCCTTCAAGATGCTCTATTGCAGATGCAAAAATGGATGGTTCTGGGGTAGCTTTAATCTATGTATCCCAGTGACGATTAGGGATTGGACAAGAGGACAACAGCCTGGAGATCGCGTACTTCTCCGACTACCGCTTTTATATAAAGTTGGTGAAGCATTTCGACCAGGCAACGCGGATGAAAAGATTAGATGTAAGGCCAGCACCTACGCCTGGCTACAAGAAAATCATCCTCATATTCCTATTCCACGACTTTATGGGATCTCACTATCATCGGGTGAATCAGTAAGTTCTTTTACTTCTACGTGCTAATAACTGGCTAACAATTCTAGTTTACCGTTATAAAGAATTTGCCATTCCTTGCCAGATTCTACTACTATATACGCCGCCAGATATACTTATGGTTCAGCAATTTTCTATGGTCTAGGTCCATTATTCCGTCCCACTATGTTCGACATCAGCCTACTCTTAGTCCTCCATCGAACCTTGCATACCTTTTAATAGAATGCATCGAGCCAAAACAGGGGACAATGCTATCAGATACCTGGTTCAAAAAATCGAATAACGCCGCTTTAAGGACTACACTTTTCCGTAGCCTTGCTCGCATAATGCTGAGCCTTACCCGCGTTCCTTTACCATGTATTGGGTCATTTACTATAGATAATGATGGGTTTATCTCATTATCAAATAGACCCCTGACGCTTGAAATTCAAGAGTTTGAAAATGAGGAAATTCCTATTGATATTCAGCGCAATTATACATACCAGACTACTGATTCCTACATTACTGATATAGTAGGCCTTCATGATAGCCGCTTACTTTACCAACCAAATGCTATTAATAATGGCTCAGACTATATTCAACAGGCAGCAACACTAGCAGGAATACGTCTTTCTACCCCTATTTTTTTTCGGCGGGACTTACGCCGGGGTCCATTTATATTCTCTCTAACCGACCTTCACCAGAGTAATATATTTGTTGATGAGAATTGGAATATTACCTCACTTATTGACCTTGAATGGGGATGTTCTTTACCAGTTGAAATGATTCACCCGCCCTATTGGCTTACAAGTGAGTTTGCCGACGCAATTAATGAGGACGAATACAAGAAAATGTGGACAGAGTTCGTACATACCTTAGCTCAGGAAGAAGATGAATATTTTGGAAACGTTCAACAAAGCTGTGACGCTCAAAATACCCGACTATCAACAATAATGACGAAAGCATGGGACATGGGTACTTTTTGGTATTCACTTGCTCTTCGAAGTCCTGCTGCTATCTTTCGCCTATTCCTTGATCGAATTCAAATAAAGCTCGGAAAAGACAACTATAGTGCAGAGGAATATGGCCTCGTTATGACGTTTCAGTGGAGAACGGACATCGCCGATATCCTTGCTCAAAAGATGAAGGATAGAAAGACATATGACGATGAACTTCGACAAGCTTTCCTTATACCTCAAACGGAAAGCTAGCGGTATCTAGTCTAATGGCCTCTGGAGCTCTCTGTATCCCCTTAGTTTCGCGTAAGTTGCTACAGCGTCAAAACACGGTGTATTCGGGTTCGCTCATCTTTCGCCCACTGTCCAAAAGATAGAACAGAGTAACCGAACATTCTAGTTTGGGCGAATATAATATGTTAATACACAAGACCGATAAAATTGATAGAAGGATGCATACTATGTATGTATGCAAGCAAGGAATTCAAGGTGCAAACTAGAGACAGTGACGGCAGTCTAAAGTATTTTCCTTTCTTTCCTGAGCTTCCTCAACTATTTTAAGGATCTTGATATGAGTATTTGGCGTTGGAGCGCTTAATAAGGTTATCGTAATGTGCAAAAAAGGCGCGGAATCTTAGCCTTTGGCGCAGATATAACAAGACGGAATAGGAAACTTCTTCTATAAGTGCTACAGATAAGAATGAATAGAGCAGCAATTAGCCTTAAAAGTCGAGATTGCAAAATGCCTTTATTCAACTAATACAGTACGCACATTGATCTAGAAGAGGCAGATATAGAACGTTTTTATACCTGGGATCACTTTTGTTATATAACGAGATCCTTAGTATAAAAGATAGGTAAATCTCTTTGTGTTAGTTAACATTATTTGGAGGATTTAACTTATATATAGTTATGCAACTGCAAATAAGGGCAAAGTGAGTTATTGCAGTAACAGCCTTGTGTATATATGGTGGACAAAGTTTAACAAAGCTTCATTCTATATATTTTCCCACAGATTGTAAGGGAGGTTTATTTGTATTGGTAGAAGCGATATAGTTAGTGAAAAATGATATTTAATTAAATAGCTGGCTATAAATTTGAGTGTCAGTTTGATCAAAGAGCGTATGGCTAATGAACTATCCGCAGCATACAATCAGGATTCTCTACGTAGCCGCTATATATGTTAGCTGTCTCAATACCGGATATGTGTACTAGGTAGGATGTATGGCAATAACTAGAATGCATCTGGAGATTAGGAAGGGAAGGAGTTAATTAAGAGATACACGGTCTCTTATCGAGGCCTTGTTAAACCTTAGTGCCTATGTTGTATAAGAAAATCATCTTCAAAAAGGCCATCCGCGGAAGACCTTTCCTCCGGAAGCCAGCGTAATAATTTGTGAACAAGTGCAAGGAGTAAGTCTTGATCCTGACCCTTGAGGCATCGTTCACAGATCCCTAATGATTGATCTGGGATTGGGAGTTGACGTAATCCAATTACCTTGGTATCATTTAGTTTTGTTTTAGTAATATTTTTGAGAATTACCATTCACGAGGAGTATAAATTACCTTCAGAATCCCAGTTCTGGCTGCATTTGATGCTTCGTTCTATGAAGCTTTTTAGCGGCGGCCCTATTAGAGAATCCATCTCAGCAAGGTGCTGCTCATCATTAAGGAGGCCGTCTTTCATTGCATAGAACAGGCAGCCACGTTCGAACAGATCCCATATATATTTATCATGTTAAATTAAGTAAAAGAGCTTGGTCATCAAGTTAACATACCATGACTCTGATAGACCATATATATACTTTGGAGTTCCATTCCATGCCCATGATGATAACATCCCTATGATGGTTCTTCCCTATTATGACGGCTCCAAAATCACAAAGGATCGGTGCCCCAAAGGTAACGGGCATGGTGAAAAGAAACATACCTATATGTACCGCGCCCACCTAGTGGAGGAAGTCTAAACCTAGAAGTACATTGCAAGGTCTGTTGCAGAAGATCCTTATTTAGGGCTCTATCAAGAAACAGGTTTCAGAACTTTGAACGTTAAATCTAGAGGCCTAAATAGTAAGTATTGATGTATCCCATGAGCACTTTCTAGCTGAAAATGATCCAACACAAGCCGTAACAGACCTTCACCAGGATGGTCAGTATCAATTGCGTCGAGGTGTTGAGACATGGTTAGCTCATTATCCATAGCAGGAGCATCTTTCGCCGCGATGCAAACCTTGAGGGTAAGAAGGAGGTTTTCCCTAGCAATCGTATAGCCATTAGATAACATAATTCTACCATTAACCGCCAGCTCTCAATGATAAAACACCTAAACATCTTACTATGTGGAGCCACTTACACCAAATCCAGACAGAGCCACATAGAAGCTGTGCCATATCCAAGCTTCACCACTACCTGGTACTTAGACTCGAAATTGAATATATCGTCTACGTGATTGGGATAAAACAGTTCAGCCTTAGAGCCTGGATTTGATTTCTCCTCAATCTTTGTCTGCTCCTGAAACTTTTTCAAAACGATGGACCAAAGATGCGTGGGCGTAAGTAGGCATTGTCTCCTTGTTAACAACACCCGAGAGCTCGCTGTAAGATGACTTCGATACCCATACACAGGGCCGTGGTATTTGAATCCTAGCCACCGACATTGCAGGTCTAGTGTAACAGTTGGTAAACGGCCGACAGATATGCAAAGTGGGTTAACAGGTAATAAAACGCCTATAGATAGAAGAAACCCAGCTCCCAAAGCAGCTTAAACAGGTGGTTCGAACTCTTATATACGAATGTAGCTAAGAGCGCGGCTATTTTACATCTCAAACGTAAAATAAAGTGGCTTAGTAAGTTGCCAAAAGCACCAATAAAAGGCTGCAAGTAGCCAATCAGCGGGTAGAAGATCAACCAATCAGTGATCTTCAATTGATCCACTTTTAAATTACACTATTTGACCCACTTTTGAAATACAAGGCTTCTTATTGGCTATTATAAGCAACCCCGTGACCACACCTGAGATCGTGCCTCGGCTCTTCGTCGGCTTCATGGAGTTAGCATTTATATCTAAACGTCCGGCCATCTTCACGTTCACAACGGAGTATCTTTATATATATATATATATATCCCTTTCATATACCTCCCTACTAGGTAAGAAGAATTCTAAACTGTATCACCTTTTTATAAGGATATACTAACAAAAGTCAGAGAGTCGCAACTCAGTCGCAAATTGCCCAGCATGGCCAAAACATTTACTGTATCTGAGGTCGCAGCCCACAAGACTCCCGAGTCTGGACAGTACATCATCGTTGATTCGGGTGTGTACGATATCACAAACTTCATAGATGAGCATCCCGGTGGTGCCAGGGTATTGAAGAGAGTCATTGGCAAGGACGCTTCAAAGCAGTTTTGGAAGGTTGGCAACTTGGCAACTTCTGCTTGCTACACTATGACTCGTCCAGCAGCTAACAGTATTCTATAGTACCATGGGGACAACGTCTTGAAGAAGTATGGTGAGAGGCTAAAGGTCGGTGAAGTTAAGGAGGAGGCAAAGCTATAGAGTGGCCTCTGCAAAATTTGAATCCACGAACGAATAAGCCGGAATACGTGCCAGCTCGCTCCATACATGGCGCAGGGAAAGGGTATATTCACTTGACTCTATAGAGAGTACGCTATCGGTTTTATGGCGGGTTTAACCTTTTATAGTGAGGCAACTTCGCTTCTGGGGACGGGTGAAGTTTTTGTCATTATATCGTTAGAGCTTGGTACAGCGTTACTTCTTCCGGCTGTTGGATAGACAAATAACTCTGAGTGAGAATCAGATATATCTTCTTCAGTGTGCTTCGCTTGTAGGCTCCAGGATCAAGGCTGAAGACTACAGCCGAGTTTAGTATGCAACCCGCCTTCAGCCTCTATCACGAGGCCTATACAGGACCGATAACACATAACTTTGCCTTTCCGGTCATGGTCTGTAAGCGTAAGATGTATCTTTGCGTGGCTGAGTGTGACTCACGATGTCTGCGCTATCCCATCATTTAACAGGTCATAGTCCTTTTTAATGAATCTGTGGAACTAATAACTTATCATCTCTACCACTTACTCTTCCATTCAAAATGACGGACAACCTCTACCGTGCCATTCGTGCAAAATTCACTGACGACACCATTACCGTATACCAAGCATATTCAGATGAAATTGCAGACGCTGCACTCGGGGCAAACACCTTTGTGTCTCCCTTTAAACGCGGTCGAATGACCTGGATCAAACCCTCTTTCCTCTGGGTAGCATATCGAAGCGGATGGGCGACGAAGCCTAACCAGGAGCGCGTTCTGGCAATCGAGATTACTCGCTCTGGTTTCGAATGGGCACTGCGCAATGCTTGCTTGAGCCATGTAGATGAGTCGCTTTACAGAGACAAATCAGCCTGGGAAGCACGTATGCAAGCCTCCTGTGTCCGGGTGCAATGGGATCCTGAACGAGACTTCAACTTCACTCCACTCAATTACCGGTCAATACAAATTGGGCTGAAGGGAGAAGCAGTTGATCGATACGTGGACGAATGGATTGTATCTATCGCGGATGCCACGGAGCAGATACGAACGGTCTCACGACTGGTTTCATCTGGCCGATTGAGTGAGGCTGGCAAGGAACTGCCGGAAGAGAAGCTATATGATATCCCTGAAGATGTTGCAAAAATTATAGGGGCATCATATGCCGTCAAAGAATAAATGTCACACCGCATGTGCCAATGTGCTTTTTGTACATCGTCTTGTTTGAGCCTGGATATAAAGTAGCACAGTATTTGATATAGCTACGATGAACTTTTATGAAGTAAAAATTGATAAATGTACTACCAATAATTGGATTTTATAGAAATATATCTACACGTAGTATCTGATGCGAGATCCTTAACACAGTTAAGAGGATTCAATCAACCAGTCAAGAAAGGGAAAGGAGGTCAGTGGAACGAACGATAACACACGGAACAAGGTAGCTAGTTAGCCAATTGCAAAGACTGGCATATCAATGCCTTGCTTCTGTCCCGCCTTGAAAGATATATAGAAAACAGGAGGGTATATAACATCTTTTTTTGGGGACCAAAGGGGTAGTAAGCACTGGGCTGGTTAAACAAGAAGAAATGAAAATGTGATCGATAGATCAGAATACCGCCCATTCCCTAAACCAGACAGATGGGCCATAAGAGGAGTTAAATAAGAGAGAAAAAAGACTGAAAAAAAAATAGGGTTACATGGCTGGGGTTATCCAGATATTTTCATAGCGGCAGGTTATGGCGTTATATAGAAAAACACCAAATGAAGAGCGGAGTATAGGTGGAGGAGCATGACAATGAAAGTGAGCGTTTAGAATCCCTTGAATGGATCGTAGCTTCGGAAGAATTCATTGCCCCCGCCATCTGATTCACGGAATTCGGTATCAGGACTCTGGGGCCAATAGTCCTTTCTCTTCCCACGATAGCCGCGCTGTCGCGGGATGTCACCTTTATCAACGAAAGCCTCCATTCTCATCGTGCCAACAGCGTCAAAGAAGTTCGCCATACCAGCAGGAGCATGCCCAGCAGTTTCAGATGTACGATGGCTGAAGCTGCTTTGTCCGCTGTGAACGATGGATGGAGCCGCAGATGTCGGTGAATGTAGGTCTGAGGATCCAGCAGTTGTTGAACTGTAGGCAGTAGCTACCGTATTGCTAGAGAAAGTCCGAAATGGGTTTGGTAATGGCCTGGGAGCGGTGTTGCTTCGTTTTCTAGAATGGGCTGCGAATCTTGGGACATTAGGGGGGTCGGCAGAGTCCATATTTTGATCTTGTCCCCCTGACATCTCGGGAAACGATTCCTCCGGCACGGTCGCCTGGGTTGTGCGAGACCTAGTAGGTATTGGGCGAGTCTTCCCCTTTGCGACCCTGATCGAGTCACGGATGGGGTTTCGACGTAGTGCTGCAGTTATTGGCCGTGGGACTGTTTCCACCTGGGGAACTGGCGGCAGTGTTGCAAGGTCATCAAGGCCTAGCGAGGAGTGGCTAAGGAAAGACAGGGCTGTCAACCAGACATAATGGCGCTCTAAGGTTAATGCTGTAAATTTTAAAGCTCTCTGGGGAGTCAAGATCAGGATTGAACGGTTGAATGAATTCTGTTGTGCGGCACCACGAGGTAAGGGGTTTTCATCCTTTACGTCAAGTACGGATTGAACGACCACTGGGTTGATATTAGTCTCAAACTGATAATAAAATTGATAGATGGGAGATATGCTTACACTTTCGTCCACTTTTACCTAGCAACGCAGATCCACTTGTTGGCTGCTTGCTGCTCCACATAACGGAACGTTCATAAGGGGCAAGCCATACCCACCTCTTGTGTCTCACCCCATTTCCAGAGATGTTGGCAGACATTTCCTCAGTATTTTTACCGCCTTCACCCCCTTCTTTGCTCTTGTCCTTATCTTTTGAAGACTCTGACATTCCAAATGACTTTCTTCTGCGTACATACTTGTACATCCATTCCCCGACCATAGTCTGGGCAATGGCATCGACAACACTAGTCTGTTGAACTGACACGGCAGAAGACACGTTACGCTCATGGTAAGGTTCTCCTGCCCTCGATGGCCGGCGTGAATCATTAGAACTGGGAGTTTTGTTGGAGATTGCAGTAGGATCCAATGGCTTAGGCGAACGATGAGGGAACAGCGGGCTCTCCGGGCCAGCAGACGATGTCGAGATAGAAGTAGGAGAGCGAAGAGAGCTAGAATGGTCATCACGATACTGTGTTCTCGACACAGCGGCGGCTGATCGTATCTTGCGAAGAGTGAAGTCTCGTCCCATAGTGCTAATATCTGAGAAAGATCCGCTTCCATATGGCGTGGGACTCTGAGCGCCTTCACTTTTAGCTGGCGGAGCCTTCCGGGAACTAAGGCGAGTGGGGACGGGGAAAGGAGGGCGAGACACAGCAACATTGGCCGGTTTTGTTGTGTTGGTAATGCGAGGACTTCGAGGACTCCGAGATCTTGACGAGGGTCGATGGTTGTTGGATGCCCTGGTAGGCCGTCGGCTGTTGGATGTCTGCCTAGAAGGGCCTGTTTTCTTATTTATTCTTGTCGAACCCCTAGAAGACGGTTTCCCGCGAGTTGCTGAAGAACGGCGGAGGCTTCCACTGGTAGGCTTTCCATCGGCTGTGGTAGCCTGGGAAAGCATAAATTCTTCATCTTCGGGACTTTCGTCCAGAACGGAGCAGTTGGAGGGTTTTGATACTAGCTTGCCCATCTTGATAGTATATGAGGCCATGGGTTGAGTTAGTATCGCATCATCGTCGTTGAATACTTCCTCGACAGGCAGACGAGATGATGGTTCGTCATCACTCTCATGATCGAACCCGGCAAATAAGCTGCTCGACCTGAATGGCCGTTTGATGTCACGTTGCATGTCTTCGGTGAGTGGGCCGTTGTCGTTATTACCGGGATACAGTGATATCGGTATATCAACAGGCGGGGCTTCTCGTAATCGGGGAGTCGTAGCGGATGTGTTAGTTGCTGTGGTATTTGTGGGGGGCGGGCGATATGGCTGGTAAACAACCGGTGACTTTTTTGCATCAGTCGCTCGCTCCACAGGTTGATCTGGGAAGGCGGATGGAAGCAGGTCAAATGGTACTCTGGCAGGCCTCTTGTCCACGCGGATCTCTTCGGTTTGGACTCCAGACGATTGCGTGTTCACTGAAGGCTCGGGGAGTGTCTGAGAAGAGGCATTCTTTGTCTGTGGAGGGAGCACGACGCTGGTTCTAGGAGTGACAGGATTAGACATCGGAGGATGGATCGCAATCATTGGAATGTTGAACTCGCGAGCCCCAATGGATGATTCTTCTGAAGAGTTATCTTGCTCTTCTTCAGTTTGGGTCGACGTAGATATCATCAAGTTTATATCTAGCCGGTGGTCAATCTGCGGCAGCTCAATCTGCGGCAGCTCCGTGTCTTGTTGAGATTGAGTATCAGGGGCTGCTTCGACAGTCTGGCATTCCGCAGATGCCACAGTAGCCGAGCTGGTTTGAACTCCCATGTCTGACGTTTCGTAGACCGGAGTGGCCTTCCCAGTCACACTTATCATGCCATCGGCATCTGGAGGAGTGATAGGGGTCTCCAGGATTAGCGGAGTAAACGGATCATGAATTCCACTAGCCATCATCGACTCTCTCAGCGGGGATGGAGGAGGAGTGAACTGTATTCCAACGTCTCGATAAGTTGCCTTGGAAATCGGGGTCTCTGCTGGTATTTCACGTTGCCATCTCGGTGAGGTAGGATTTGAGCAGCGATCTTTTACTGGAGAGTTTTGGGGACTGGTTGAATCGAATGCAAGGCCCAAGATCTTTCTTGCCTTTTGGCCTGTGAGTAACGACTGGCTAGACATTGGTCGCGGTTCGTGCGTAGACGTGAAGGGCTCTGTTTCAGCTCTTGACGGATCCTGGACACTGTCGTTTAGGCCCTCCTCAATGTCTTCGTTTTCGGTGTCATCACAAGCAAGCTCATCCGCAAGACTGGCGCCTTCCATGCTCGTACCGTTAAAAAGGCCAATAACAGAGCAGCGAAGGTGGTTCGCATCGCTGTTGAAAGTGCTAATACTGGAGTTGCTGTTCCTGCGCCCCGTCCCCGGGCTCTCTGACCGAAGGCTCATTGCATCCAGAGCCCGGGGAGTATTGGATTCTTCCTGGTCTTTATCTGACCCATCTAGCCGGCTGTCGAACTGGTGGGCATTATGTTTCCCATTGGCGGCCTGAGCGACCGTGATCTCATTGATAACAGTCTTGAGGCGTCCCTCAACGATATGGACCTTGGTCTCCAGCTTCCGTTTCTCGTCATCCCACCGCTGCCTGTCGGCATCCCATAGTTCCTGCGTACGCTCTGCCTGGTCCTGATACAACTTGGCCTTTTTCTGAACATCCTCCAATCTCCGTCTAGACTCTGCTATAGACTCCCAGGCCTCGTCTCTCTCCTTGGTCAGCTCGGTAACAGCACTGAGGGACCCGCCCTCGAGCAATTGGATCTGCTTCTTCAACGTCCTGTTCTCCTTTGCATGGTTGACAAGTGACTCCCGTAGAGACTCCTCCTCCGATCTGGAGACCTCTAGACTGAGCTCAAGCGACTCTAGAGTGTTCGATTTTCCTTCCAGGTCTCGGCGTAAAGACAGAATCTCGGATACCAGAGACGCGTGTAGCGTAGGAGTGAACCGCCGAGGGTCAAGAGGAGAGATGGACTCATCGTTTGCAGAAACAAACTTGTGAGATTCATGCCCTTCAGCCAGGTCAAACCGCAAAGCAGTCTGCTTAGGAGGAGAATCCATCCAGCTCAACGACTGACGGGACACGAGCGTCTGGTAAGGGGTATCCGTTAAGGCGTGGGAGGTGTATACACTCTCGTTATCCCTGGGGTCCATAGGAGTCTGGTTCAATGTCCCGAGCATGTCAATCCAATCTACCAGGTTTTCCCTTTTTTTCCCACGGTATATATTAGATATTAAGATAGATAGATATTATATCGTTGAATATCAAAGTCCTGGAGTTCAACCCCAAGTTCACTGCGCCCACTTCGGCCCATCAACACGGCAGCTTCGTTAACTGGAGATACCTTGGCTATGCGATCCTGTCATGGCAGATAAACCCCTCTGTGGATTGTAACTCATGCATCCATTCGTCAAGGCGTAAAAGAGAGCCGGGGTGAGAGCGGGTATGGTGAGTCGTATGCGGCCTTTCCGTTGGATGTGAAAAAAAGGGCGAAGTTCTGGATGATAAGCAAATATCTACAACAGACAAGCCATGCGATTAACAACAATCGATCAAGAACAAGCAAGCTGCAGCCAATAATAGCGATGACGATATTATTAAGGACCATGCAGTGTGCTTTAGCAGCGTGCAGAAAAGTAGGATAAGGATGCAGATAATGCAAGACTCAGGGGGGGTGTCGAGATATAGCCAACATTCAACGCCCAAGCAGCCCAAGGGGGAGAGAACATGTGAAGACAAACAAGGGGAAGAAGTACTTTCAAGGTCCCATATACGGTTATAATAACATATACTTACATGGTTTATAGAGAAGTGCAATTCATCAAACCGACAGGAAAAAGGCGGTGTTTCAAAATAAAATATATCAAATATCGGCAGAGAAGACGACTCGAGATGTCCAAAGCCACGAACAAAGCTGCACAACGCGAGCCATCCCAAGGGGAGAGGCTTCGAGAGCGCCCCAATGTTCTTTCCCCCCCTGGACGAGCTTGCGGCCCTTGAGATGCAGCGCTATGTCGGGAACGGCCTAGTGAACAAGAGCTCCTGGTGGAGATTAGAAGGGATGATGCCTGTTTGTGAGAGAAAAACTTCCGCGCGCGACAAGCTTGCATACGGGGGAAAGCACAGGAGAAATGTTATCAGTCGAAGAGACAAGTTGGCTGTCTGGCCTCTCTCCTCAAAATATTATACGAGACACTGCAGTCAGCTACCCACATGTCGTGCCGTCTACGTCGCCAATTATCGCCGCCCAACATCAACATCAACCCCCCTAGGCCATCCCCGAGAATGCCGGCGACAAGGAGAGAGAAGAAAAGGAAAAAAGAATAGAAAAAAGCAAAGAAAAAGGAGAGTGATTTTGAGTTTGCAAGTGTGAAGCCTGTTGTGGGAGATACTGATGGCATGACTTATAATATCAACTACTAATAATGCCAATACGTGCAACGGCACCATCGCCGGCTTTGACTGGCCTTCTTTTAACTGGACAACAATTCTTGATTTAAAAAAAAACTCGTCTTCTCATTGGAAAGGAGCACTCCACCGGGGAAGATGCGCCGTTGATCATGGACAAATGAGCAAGTCTCTTCCAGCGGCCCGAGAGCTGCGCCAGTTCGTATTTCTAGACCGTCAAGGCTCATCCTGGTTCGATATCAGAATATACGATGCTCTTAGCCCAGAGGGAACTGTGGGCTCGCTGCATCGGGTGCGAAGCTTTGCTGCACCCAACCTTACCCATACTTCTGCTGCTTTCCTGGGGTGTGAAAGCATGCACTCAGGAATTGAGTTGTGAGCTCACTTTTCTCCTTCCCATGAGAGAGTACTGGAATGCGATCTGTCGAAAAGAATTTGGGCTCGAAGAGACGGGAAGGCCGCCATTCGACCGATATATAGGTTGACCGGAAAAAGCAAGCTGGAGGAAGGAAAAGAAACGTCGACCCCAAGGCCGTTGTGAGAACCATATCAGGCCATTTTATTACCCTCTGTTTTTTTCATCCCCCTTGTCCGACTACTACTCTATCAAGATGTTTCGCCGAGCAGATTATTTTAATTGGGGATACAGGATCTAATATATCACAAGGGTTGTGTTTGTTGACAAGGCCGATCCCCACATGGATTGGACGGACAGAGAGTTCTCGAACCAAGGATGGCAGCTTGGGAGAGAGACGCCAATATGGGCCTTTCCCATACATTCCGTCGGCCATGGACGTCTGTCCATGGTTCATCCCGCTGGCCGATCCAAGGGCTGGGAGGCGAAGCGGCCAGGGAGATGCAAGGGAAAGCGAACATCGCAATTACCGCCAACTGCCACTGCCACTGCCACTACTACCGACCAACCGACTAGCCGAGCAGCCCAACAAGATATCCTCGGACATTAAGGACCATCCATCCTGATCGCTGATTCTGTCTGTCTTGAGATTTTGGAATGGAACCTCCTCCCAAAAACAAAGGGAAAAATATATTACAAGCGCGTTTTTAACATGCGAAGTTGAAGTGTATTAGTATTTTAGCCCCCTGCCTAAGTGTATTTAATAGCTCCACACAGGCGCTGTGTGGGCAGTGAAGGCGGACGCCATCCTGAGCCGCTGCACCACTTCCTATGTTGTATATACACGATGTTTGGTGATGGTGTCAAGGGCGACGCAGATGCGCTGTTCTGAGGTCACCAAAAGGGGTTAGTCTTATGGCAATGCGACACTGCTTAGTCATCAAATGAACCTCCATGAGCCTAGCCTCTTTAGGCATGCTCTATCTACTTACAGATCGAACGCTCTGTATATGCTTACGGAGAACTCCCATTCCATGTTACGGAAGACAGGGGGGAGAATCGGTATGCGCCATGATTCTGATCTAATTAATCATAACGTAATGTGTAGGGATTTGTGTGGGTGATAGCGGTATCAAGCAATACCAGACAATGCAGGCAAGGCGGATATTCCAGCTCTTTCGTGTTCTACAGTTATACTCGGAGACCACCATCCCAACAGGGTCTTCGCTGGCCGTGATGGTGTTGCTTATGTATGGATAAGACAGCACACTTGCTTCGTAGATACAGGAGAGGGAATCGGATGAATTAAAATTGTCAACAAAAAACCAGTCTCTCTACCACCGACCAGTGCGGGCTCGCTTTGAACAGTTATAACTCCAGCTACCGATTGCGCCAAGCCAAGTCAACATCTACAGAGAGGCTCTTCCACACTATGTAGGCAGTACGGAGTACTATGTAGCTCAAATCTGGCTCTTTATGTACTCCGAACACTAATAATTTCTTCTTTTGTTTGCGGCGTCAGTTGTCCAATCAACGAACGGCAGCGGTATCCATTTTCTCGCCCTCGGCGGCTAATTGACATCCATGAACAGAGCATCAACTTGCCTGCCAATCAGCGCAGGCTCTCCTGTTTGACCGAATGCAGTACGGAGTATTTGACAGAAATCAAGGATCAAAGGGCGTTGGAATGCATTAGCCCCATGCATGAGCCAATCCTTGAGAGTCTGGGCCGTTTGACCACCTGTTGGCATATTGTCGATAACCTCGTTTCGTGCGGCGAGAGCTATGGAGGACATATGAGATGAATAGGAGGGTCGAAGGCCCATTTCAACTGCATCTTCACGCCAGTCCTCTTGAAAACATTGATCTTTGCAGAGACTTCTATTCAATTCACCCAAGTCTACCAACTATGGCTGTCACCGCATTCACCGCAGCCCAAGAGCTCGTCAACCACGCCGAGTGCGAGATTTATCCATGCTGAATTGTTCTGAATAGCTATGTGGTAAGGAGGTAAGCGATGCACACTTTTATCTTTGGCCCTTTGACGACGAAGCCTGATAGGCGCATGCCGCGGGTGTCGCCTAGAGGAGCGCTTATGGGACTAAGTTCCGGCTCTCCTTTTTCTTTCGCCTTGCAAATAACAACGCTTGGTGGCGTGAATAGTCTATATATCTGGTCGTGAAGTGCTGTCCAGCTACTGGCATCTCGAAGGATTGCCTTTGAAGAATCCCATTGGCTCAACCTGGGCCTAGCTTAGACTAATCCTAGGCTACAGTATTCGAAGGTGGAAATAATATGGGTGTCATGTCACTGCCCCTCGCCCTTGACTACACCACCGTATATGCCTGATGGGCTTTAGCTGTCTAGACATCAAATCCCTCTTATGTAAGTATACCCATGTTGATTATTAAATTTGATACTGACTGGATTCTATGCATCCAAATGCCAGACGAGGAGATAATATATATAAAGCAGCGTCCCGACGCGAAAGACTTCCACCACTCCCTTTGCGATCAAGGCCATGGAGAGAAGAACGGTTTCATTGCCAATGGCGCCTGCATTCATGGTGTCCGCTCCAGGAAAAGTCATCGTCTTCGGTGAACATGCTGCGGTCTATAACAAGCCAGCCATTGCCGCAGCCATATCGCTGAGATCCTACCTCCTTGTCACCACCCTCTCCAAGTCCCAGCGCACCGTCACATTGAATTTTCGGGACATTCATTTGCACCACACTTGGTCAATCGATTCTCTGCCGTGGCATATCTTCAACCTTCCTTCCAAGAAGCAGTTCTACCACTCTCGTGTCGAGTCTCTCGACCAGGATTTACTCGCCGCCATCGAACCGCATGCTGCAGCTGTTTCTGTGGGCCTCGAAGAGAAGCAGAGGAAAATGCACGTACGATCTGCGACCGCTTTTCTCTATCTCTTCCTTTCCTTGGGCTCCCAGCAAAGTCCCGGATTCGTTTACACCCTTCGATCTACGATTCCAATTGGTGCCGGCCTGGGTAGCAGTGCTAGCGTTTGCGTTTGTTTGAGCACAGCGCTGCTCCTTCAGATTCGGGCCCTGGCAGGACCTCATCCCAACCAGCCTGTGAACGAAGCCAAGGATCAGATCGAGCGCATCAACCGCTGGGCATTCGTGGGGGAGCTCTGTAGCCACGGAGATCCTAGCGGGGTGGATAACACGGTCTCGTCTCAGGGTAAAGCAGTGCTTTTCCGCAAAAACACCAATGCGCCGTCATCCGTTACTCCTCTCCTCAAGTTCCCGGCGTTACGATTCCTTCTCGTCGACACCAAACAACAGCGTTCCACGGCCTCACAGGTGGAAAAGGTGCGAGCGCTGAAAGAAAGCCAGCCTGTGACGATAGAGTCGGTCTTGGAGGCCATCGGCAAACTCACCGAATCGGCATTGGATCATTTCTCCTCTGCAGATTTTAACGGCAATGGCGCCGCAGGAGCCATCGACAGCTTGGGCACCTTGATTCGCGTAAATCACGGCTTGCTAGATGCACTGGGTGTCTCCCACCGCCGCCTAGAGCGTGTCCGCGAGCTCGCAGATGATGCAGGTGTCGGTTGGACGAAGCTCACTGGCGCCGGAGGCGGTGGGTGTGCCATTACACTCCTCCGGCCAGGTGTCGACGAGGAAACGGTGGAAGAACTGGCACAAGAGCTCAGTGAGCATGGATTTGAGAAACACGAGGCGATGCTAGGTGTTGACGGAGTTGGTGTGCTTTGGCCCGCTATATTCAGAGACACGTTCAATGGAGAGAGCGAAGAAATCGACCAAGAGAAGTTCGAGAGTGTCATCGGTACTCATGGTATCGAGCAATTGGTTGGCGTAGGGGCACGGGAAGGCTTTGAAGGATGGAAGTTTTGGACACACAATGATTGATAATGGCCCATCACTAGGCGAAGATCGAGATTTAAACCCTTGTATTATTGAACCGTGGTATATACACTATGCTAATACATCTAGGTAGGTGCAACAAAGCATGCAATAAGCCGTGCTCTCAGCCTCCATAGCACGGAGCCAGGCACTCGTATTTCAGGGGTGTTATGTGGCCAGCCATGGAGGAATGATACCCATGCCATCGCAGGGCGAAGGGGTAACAATGCGTTTCCCGATTACATTGTGTATATAGGAAAAAATACATAATAGTCGTAGGCTAATAGAAGCCCAGGAAGCGAAAAAAGCTGGGCCTGCGCGGAAGCATGTTGACAGGCACATGATATAAAGGTACATACACCCGGCGGCCTAGAATCTAGTCGGTCTTCCTTAAGCCTTTCAAATATCCGTGGAGAAGAGCATGGATGGCGAAGATTAAGGGTGACATCGTGAAACTACAACTTTGCTCGTCCGTCTCTATTCGCCTTCGCTTGGAAGTATTCCTTCACTCTCAGCCTGGCCACCTCGACAATATCTGGATCTTCGACTGTTGGCGGAACGCTGACCGGCTCATCATACTTGCCCTCAGCTGCCTTCTCCACCAGCTCCCTCAATACCCGTCGAAGAGTCTTGCCGCTGCGTGTCTTTGGAATCATACCCTGGCCCTGGATGATCCCTCCGAGCGAGGCGATGGCTCCGATCTGCTCTCTTACCAAGGCATTCACCTCTTGGAAGAATTCCCTTGGCGGAGTTGCCGGTAGCGTACTTGAACCTGCTATGGCCGAGGAATGTAGCTGAACAAATGCGAATGGCATGTGTCCCTTGATACTGTCAGGCACGCCAACAACGCTCGCCTCTGCTGCCTTTGGATGAGAGAGAATGGCTTGTTCGATGGCTCCTGTAACTCTCGGGGTTAGCATATATCTTCGCAGCCATCGATGGGGAGACAATAAATACCTGTGCTGAACCTGTGTGCAGCTACGTTGATAACATCATCGGACCTCGACATGATATGGACATAGCCGTCCTGGTCGATCATGCCTGAGTCGCCGGTATCCATCCATCGGCTTGAAAAGCGCTTGAGATACCCGTTGTAAAACCGCTCGTCGTCGTTGAACAGGGTTGTGAACCCCGTCGGCGCGAATGGTAGAGCAAGCACGATATTCCCCATCGTACCGTACTCTACCTCATCGCCCTCGTCGTTGACAACACGCACGTCAAATCCAGGCATTGGCTTACCGGCAGATCCTGGCTTCGCTCTCAGCGCCCTGGTGGCCGGAATCTTCCCGCCAGCGATCCCCATATCAGGCCTCAGCGCAAGCCCCGTCATCGGCGATCCAGACTCTGACGACCACCAGTTATCTATAACCATCGCACCCGGCGCGGCATGCCTATCGAGGAGTTTTTGGAACGCTAACACGATGCTAGGCTCGCTTCTCTCGCCTGCCAGGAAGAGGGCTCGGAGCTGCTTCAACCCTCCACGTTGGCCGACCTGGTCGAATAGCTTTGCCGCCGGGTCTTCCCTGTGTATCACCCTCAACGCAGTCGGCGCGGTGAACAGAGCGTTCACTTTATGTTTCTCGACTATCCTCCAGAAGCTACCTGCGTCTGGAGTGCCCACTGGCTTACCTTCGTACAGCACCGTCGTAGCCCCGGCAAGGAGCGGTGCGTAGAGGATGAACGAATGACCAACAACCCATCCTAGATCCGAGGCACAGAACATCACATCTCCAGGCCCCTTGATATCAAAGAGATATTTGATGGACAAGTTAAGGCCAACAGCATGGCCACCGGCTTCTCTCAGGACTCCCTTGGGAGTACCGGTCGTACCTATACAACAGTTTATATCTTCTCTTTTTTTTTTCGCCACAAGGAACGTAACATATAACATATAACATACCACTGGTATAGATGATGTACAAACCCTCATCACTCCTTATAGGCACAGCATCAGCCCGTAGACCACGCCTTTTCCCATCCTCCACTAGACGCTGCCAATCGCGCTGGCCCAGGTTCTCCCGTATAGGCGACCAGCGGAGCTCCTCCCGCTGCCAGACAAGCACCTTTTCAGGCTTAAACGAGCTCTTGGAGACAGCGTCCTCGACCAGCCGTCTATAATCGATGGCGCCTTTCGTCCCTTCGACACCACAGGATGCGGTCATGATGACCTTTGGCTCGCCTGCCTCTATCCTCTGCGCAAGCGAGTTTGCCGCAAACCCGCCAAAGACAACAGCATGGATTGCCCCCAGTCTTGCAATTGCCAGTGCCGCAACCATCGCAGCGGGTATCATGGGCACTAGTTATGCATCATCAGTCACTCTAGTTCATTCATGTTCATATATATATGTATGTATATATATAAAGGGTAGTTGACCGTACTGTAAATCACCACCACATCACCTCTCCGAACGCCTGCTTCCCTCAAGACCCCAGCCAACACTTCCACTTCCCCCAGCAGCTGGCGGTAAGTAATCTTCTCCTCGCGTCCCGTCACCGGCGACTCCCAGACGACAGCAACGTCCTCGCCCCGTCCGGCATGCACATGGCGGTCTACGCAGTTGTACGTCGTCGAGATCTCGCCGTCCGGGAACCACGTCCAGCTCTCATGCTCGACGCCGCCGGGCAAGACCTTGGTTCCTCTACGAAGGCTGCGAGACGGCTTCCTGTGCCAGTGTAGCTGCGCTGCGTGACGAGCCCAGAACTGCTCCGGGTGTACGAGCGATAGGCTCTGCACCGCGTCCTGAGGGTGTGGCGCGACCATTATTTAAATACGAATCGAACAACGCTGCTAAAGAGGCAAAATTCGAATGCTTGTAGAGTAACCTGTGCTTGTACCTCGTTTTTCGCCGGGCGGTCCTTTTTCCTTTTTGGTTCTGGAGGCTGGAAGCCGGTTGGTCGTCGGGTTGTTGGAGTTGTTGTTTGATAACCATCCGCCTTTCGCCAAGGAGTGTATCAGCCATCCGCCGACGGCGTTTAGGCCTGTCCTTGCAGGCCTGTCCGGGGATTGAGACGAGGGCTAGGACGGAGATAGTACGATGTCCTGGGCCAATGGCAGGGCGACGAGGCTGGCTAGTCCGACATGGATGAGCCCGGCTCGGGGAGGAGGTTGTTTACGAAGAGAAAAAAGGACGGCAAGGAGATGAAGAAGGCAGATAGAAATGGAATGAATATACACCGTCTACTAAGTGAGATGTCCACCCAACCCTGAGCACGTTAGCTGTGATGATAAATATTATATACATTGCAACCAGTCCCCAGGCCTAGACTAGTTAAAAAGGTAAAAGCCCGTTTGCAGAAGAGGGTGTGCGAGGAGGGTCGATATCATATCGCTGACCGGGCCGGCCGTTGTGATGCGACGGCGTTGGTGGCCAGTTGTAACCCCCTTCCCTTCGGTCGAGAGCCTCTTTCTCATTTCCACGGCCATATATATATATATATATGTAGGCTTCGCATTAGTGTTTGCGTGTATTGCGCAGGCGATAGCGTATCCGAACGGGTACCTCTCCAGAGGACGAAGGTAAGGGGGAAAAGGGGGTAGAGAGGAAAGAAAAGAAGGCGAAATATATAGATAGAACGTCTCTCACATTCAGGTTGTAGTCCCGCAGTCCCGCAAGTTCCGATGATCCATCACATCCGGCATGCAACCTCCCCATATCCATCCAATTGCTCAAGTTCTCCGTAGATTCTCCTCTTCCCCCACTTGATTAATGCAGACGAGAAAGTCCTGTAACTCCTGGGCTAGAGAAGCAAAAACCAAGACAAGAGGCGGCCGCGTAAAGAGAAAACAGAAATAAAAAAGGATAATTAACTTCTTCGTTCGTATAGATCATCAGGTCATGTAAAAAAAAAGATTCAGGTATGTAGCTCGATAGACGGTGGATGATAGAAGGATGATAGAAGGATGATAGAAGGATAATAGATGTGTATAAGTTTGTAAAATGGCAACGAACCGAAGGAAACGAAAACAAGGCCGTGGTGTAGCGGGTTGGCACCGGGGGAAATCTGAATATCCAAAAAAAAAAAAAAAAAAAAAAAACAGAGGGTATGATGAAGAAGGTATGACTGAACGGTGTAGGATTGACGGCGGAAAGCGAATAAAAAGAGGACAAATGGAAGAATCGACGTTGGAGGCAAAGATTCTAGAGAATCAAGCATTTGACGCCTCTGTGTGCTTTTGATCGATCGGGACGCAGGGCCTTTTGATACTCTGATCCGTTGAGGTCCCTGTTGGAGCCGCCCTGGCCGCCGAACCCGGTTGTCCTCCGGTCTGACGGCCGGTTGAGCTGCTGCTGCTGCTGCTGCTGCTGCCTCTGCTGCCTGAGGAGCCTGACGACGTCGAAGAACGCCTTTTCGACGTTGATACAGTTCTTAGCAGAGGCCTCGACGAACTCGCAGCCCAGGTCCTTGGCCAGAGCCATGCCTTCCTGCGAGGACACGGCGCGCTCGACGGCCTTGTCCGACTTGTTGCCGACGAGCATGACGGGAACGGGGCCGGCGGGGGTGGTCGAGATGGCGGAATTGAGAGGGGACGAGAGGTAGCTGGCCCCAGTGGGAGAGCCGGAGCTTGCAGATTCCTTGACGAGCTGGATCTGATGGTGGAACTTCTGTATCCTGGTGAAGGAAGAGCGCGAGGTGATGCTGTATACCAGAACGAACCCTTCGCCGTCCCTTATCCACTGGTCGCGCAGGGCGGTGTATTCTTCCTGTCCGGCGGTGTCGAGGACCTCGAGCATGCACGACTGCTGGTCGATGACGACTTGTTTGCGGTATGAGTCTTCGATGGTCGGATCGTACGTCTCGACGAAGTGGTTCAGACAGAGCTGCCTCTTGTTACTCTATACCCTGTGCCAGCCTGGAAAGGATATCAACAAACCTGGATTGTAAGAGCTGTCTTGCCCACTCCTCCATCGCCCAAGACAACGAGCTTATACAGAGTCATTTTCCCCGCCATGATTGCTGAACCGAAGAATTTTTGTTTATTGTCTTTCTTCTTTAAAAAAAATAATAATAATAAATGAAAGGAGCAGAGAGGAGAGGGAGGAGTTGTTTTTCAGTTGGAGGATCAGGTTCCAGACGGGTCGCGGGTATGCAAGTCCTCACCGGAGGGCAAAAGAATCAACAGCTTGATGGCTCAACAGTGGCGCCAGATGGACTCTGAGCACAAGAACAGATAGTATGAAGTAACTATATGCAGCCTTTTTGAATATCTGCGAACTAAATTAGCCTGGGAGGGAAGAGTGGAATGTTCTTGAACGGCAAGATCCACGCTGCGCCCCGTGGCGAAAACACGTCCGGACGACGCCAACGGGGGGAGCTGAGGGCAAAAAACAAAAAAATATAAATATAAATATGACAGAGAGGGAGGTCTAAAAGAGAAAGCTTGCACGAGGCGAAGAGAAGAAGAAGAAAAAGAAAGGGAGAGGGCAACGAACCCCCCGGAGTGTACTGATATACTGAGCTTGTTCCGCGGGTTTGGGCGTCGAAGGGGGGGGGGTGTCTCTTTGCGCAGACGACGACAGGACGGGGATGCTCCTTGAAGGGGGCTCTTGTAGCTGTGAGCTGCTGAAGCTGCGAGCGAACGGGGAGGCTACGGACAGGGACGGGAGTCGCCAGCAACCATTGACACTGACAGGAGAGAAGCTGGAAGTTCTGAAGGCTGGAAGGACGATGAAGGGCGAAGTTGAAGTTGAGAAAAGAAGCTCGTCTTTTTCCGAGGGATGACACGTGACCGCCATCGGGCTACGGATATAACAATACATAGATACACTGACATTAAGACATACAGACGTACAGACAAGTAGAGACAAGTAGATAGAGAGGGCTACAGTTGATAGCGGAAGCCGAGCTGCAGGAGCCTGGCCCGGTGGACGTCGACGTTCTCGACCTCAGCGGTGCGCCGCAGCCTGAGCATCTCCCTGTCGGTCAGGCGGTCGACTGCGACGGCCTCGTAGCGGGCGAGCTCGCGGTTCTGGCGCTGCAAGTACCACCGCAGGAAGACGACGCACGCGGTGGCGAGGAGCTGGCAGGCGACGGCGACGCCCAGCGCGAGCCGGTAGTGGGGCCGGTCCTGGTCGCGGTACGTGAAGGGCGTCCAGATGCTGGCCGAGTTGCCCATGCAGTTGATGAAGGCGTAGGCGGCCGCTCGTTTGGCCGGGGGACGCGGGATGGCGCTGGCCGTCCAGCCGTACAGCGTCCCGTTGAGGGCAAAGACGAAGACCATGAGGAAGAAGGAGAAGTAGCGCGGGCCGAAGCCGTCTGCGGCCATGAAGACGACGAAGCCGACGAGGGTGATGGGGATCGGGTACACGAAGAACCAGAAGCGGTTGTCCATGCGGTCGGAGCACCAGGAGTGCGCCAGGCTGTAGACGAGCATGAACAGGTAGGGCGGCGCGACGAGCAGCAGCGACACGACCCTGGAGTGGCCCAGCGTGCCCGTCAGGGTCGGGAAGAAGTTCTGGAAGCCCGAGGCGGCGGTGATGGACATGTAGGCGACGGCGATGGCGTACGTCTTGACGTCCGTCATGGCCAGCCGGAGGCCCCTGAGCTGGCTCATGCCGCCGGGCACGACGTCGACGTCTGCCTCCGCCGCCTCGACGGCCAGCCGCTTGTTGGCCACGGCCCGGAGGTCGGCGGGCAGCAGCCTCCACGTATCCGGGAAGTCGGGCAGCACCGCCATGGCGGCCAGCCCGACGGCGACGGTGACGGCCCCCTCGATGATGTACAGCCATCGCCAGGCGGACAGGCCGCGGGCGCCGGCCAGCCCGTCCAGGATCCCCGCCGCGACCAGGCTGCCGAACGCGCCGCTGACGAGGGAGCCGGAGTAGAAGACGCTCATGCGCAGCGACAGCTCCCGCTTCGTGTACCACTTCGACAGGTAGAAGAGCACGCCGGCGAAGAAGGGGGCCTCGACGAGCCCGAGCAGGAACCGGCAGGCCACCATCTGCGGGTACGTCTGCACGAGCGAGGTGAGCGCCGACACGGCCCCCCAGGCGACGGTGAAGCCGCCCAGGTAGAGCGAGGGGCGGCCCATGTAGTTGAGCAGCAGGTTGGACGGGACCTGCATCAGGATGTAGGCGACGAAGAGGACGGAGAGGCCGGTCTGGTACTGCGCGCCAACCAGCCCGAGATCCTCCTCCAGCCCCTGCAGTCGAGCAGCAGCGTAGTTGTTCCTATCCCGTTAGCATCTCGTCAGCATCTCGTCATGGCATCTCGTCATGGCATCTCGTCATGGCATCTCGTCATGGCATCTCGTCATGGCATCTCGTCATGGCATCTCGTCATGGCATCTCGTCATGGCATACTCACCGGTCGATGTAGTTCATGAGGTAGACGAGGATGACCGGCGGCATGATGAGGGCGTCTATCTTGCGCCGCAGCGTCCGCTCCAGCGCCAGCTCCTCCTCGCTGAGCAGCCGGAGACTCCCTGCGGTCTCTTCTCTCTTGGAGTCGTCCATCTTGCCTCTCGTCGCCTCCTTCGACAGGGCGGGCAGCCCGGCGTCTCGAGGATGGTAAAAAGCAGATCCCGGTTTTCAACTTATCCCAGTTTCTCCTACAGGACGAACCGGCCACGGCATATACATGTTTATATACCAAGGCCCTTTGGCTGTGGATCTCCGGCCTTCGCCTCTGGCCTTATAGCGGGAAGGGTAGCGTGTCAGACTTTGGCCGACGTTGCATCTCTCGGACGGTTCCTGGGGTATAGGTATATCGGGAGAGACGGCGACCCGGTGAGATCGATCTCGTGTCATAGATCGGTTACAGATCTCAAGGGGATGGATGAACAAGCGCGGGCTGGTGGCAATCTCGTTTACGGGGCGAAACGATCTCCACAGGGGCTTCTTGGAAGTTAAAAGATACTACTCTTCGTGGTTGACGGCGACGGTGACGTGACAGGTGGCGAGCGTTTCTTTTGACAGTATTACACATAGAAGATAGAGGGTTACAAGGGTATTATGCATTATCAAGATAGAATACTACCAATTACGTCGACTAGGCCTTCTACCAACACGCTGATCCCCCCGAATCCCAAGAACAAGAACGGGCCAACCTACAACAGCAGGGCGGGCGAGACCGAGGACACCGGCGAGACCGGCACCGGCGCCAACGACGGCGCGGGAGGCGGCACCGGTGAAGGTTGGGAGGGGAGCGGTGATGATGCCGGTACCGGTACCGGTGGCAGTGCCCGATTGGGGGGTACCTGGGCGGTAGAGTTTGGGGGTAGGTTTGGCGGCTCGTAGATGGAGGTGGTTGCTGCCGCCAGTTGGAGCTGGGGGAACACCGGTGGCCGGTTGGGGGCGGGGGGTTGGGGCTACGACAGTCAGTTTTATACAGCCTTTTACACAGTAGAGAGAGAGAGAGAGAGAGAGAGACATACCAGGAGGTGCACTCGGTGATGGTCTTGGAGGTCATGGTGCGGGTGACGGTGCAGGGCGCGGTGAAGGTGAGCGAGGTAGGCCCGGTGACGGTGTAGGTCTGCGAGCCGTGGATGAGGGTGGTGGCCTCTGGGCAGAAGGTGACGAAGCTGGTGACGACTTCGGTGGTGACCTCAGGCATCACACCGGTGCCGATGAGCGAGGCAGAGGCGATGCTGGCCATGGCAGCAGCGGTAGCGACGGAGTAACGCATGTTGTAGTAGTCTTGACGGTGTAGTTACGTCGGTGTTGGAGTGGCAGTGGCAGTGGCAGTGGCAGTTGGGAGATGAAAGAGTGGACGGTCTTTGAAACCTGTAAAGGAGCGACTTGGACGATGTTTGTTCGTTGCTGGAGAAGAAGAAGAAGAAGAAGAAGACGAAAGACGAGAAGATATAAAGAAGGTCGTCAAAGGGGAAAAAAGGAGTGCCTGGTAAGTGCGTGTACGCGTAACGCCTGATACGGGCGGGTCTTTTTCCACCAGCAAAGAAAGACGCAAAGAAAGACGCAAAACGACGGCGGGATCGACGGACGCCCAAGTGGCACAGGAAGAGTCAAAGGTGACTTGCCACTATCGGGCGCCACCAACTCTGATGCCACTCCTCTTGTTATACCGACCGAGGCTGACTGCCCAGAAACGCCCAGCGACGGTGGCGTTGCTGTGGAACAAGACGTATCTTACGGTATTTACATGACCGTACCAGGCACCGTAACTTACGAGCCTAACTGGTCCCGTGACCGGCGAGGAAGACGGGCGACAGGACGGCGACAGGGGAGAAACAGAGAGGATGTCATGGATATCATGGATGTCGATGCGATGGCCCTCTTGTCCGTACTCATACCATGTAAAGGCTACTGAATGTCTATGGCGTCCTATCCAGCTGTACAAACAGGAGTGGCAGCGAACGAGTCTTACACGGCAAAGTGCAGATGCTAGTATAAAAGTCGACTGATGTACGGAGTATTGTCTGCTGTGATATGATGCACTCTACCTGACACTTCGTATAGTGTGCCCTTTAATCTCTCTCCACCCAAGGGGGCCGGTCTCGCTGCACTCTCAGGCCTCCTCTGGCTGGCGTTCGTGGCTAGACCGGCTGCTTATCGTTACTCTTCGAAGATACACAACTTGTCATGGTATTCCAATCAGAAGATCTCACATTGTCCCTGTTAGGATGGTGATGATGGGGCCGGGACATGTCCACAGCACCCGCAGGCGACCTCCCATGGACCTCGCAGAGAGGATCCCGGGAAGAAGGCGAGCGTTGCATCTGAAGTTGCCCTCTCGTCATTTTGGATTTAGTTGTGTGAAGAAGAGAAAAAAGTCGAAGAGAAAAAGTCGAAGAGAAAAAAGTCGAAGAAGCGAAAGAAAAAGTCGAAAGTGGGTCACATGATGTACTTATGTAATGTATAAGAGTAGTCCGCGGGATGACTAAGTCCCGGTTAGTCAGCTTTCCGCGGGAAACGCCGAGAAAGGAAATAAGATGAAGATCCCGAAAGTTGGACTTCAAAAAGATATCGAAAACGACACAACAGCAAACAACTTCGTCTTTCTCTCTGCCTGCCGATACGGATATACAGTAATGTCTCTGCGGTGTGCCAGAGACGTCGCCAGACGGTTCGCCGTCCCTCGATCATACACCAGGCCGGCACAGTTCGTCAGGTGGCAGAGCTCCTCCAGCAACCACAATGTATGTCATTATCTACTACAACAACCCGCCGATTGAGTGTTATTTCACCCATTGAACGCTATGCCGGCTGCTAACAGGCATGTAGGAGCTTGCAGACCACTTGCAGACCACAGATCCGGAGATCTATAAGATAATACAGAATGTACGCTCCCTCGCATCTCCCGTCTCGGCGTTATCTAACCGGCGCGTCGGGGAGCTGTAGGAGAAACGCCGTCAGAAGCACTTTATCAACCTCATTCCGTCAGAGAACTTCACCAGCCAGGCCGTTCTCGATGCCCTAGGCAGTGTGATGCAGAGTCGGTACTCCGTGGCTACATGTCGAGTGCCGCAGCTGACCTCGGTGTAATAGACAAATACTCGGAGGGATACCCGGGAGCACGATACTACGGAGGTAACGAGTTCATCGACCAGGCTGAGCGTCTCTGCCAGGAACGAGCACTGCAGACCTTCTCGCTGAACCCGGAGGATTGGGGCGTCAACGTCCAGGGTAGGTTCAGGCGCTGTTGGCATCGTACGATGCGCATCCACGCTAACATTAATAAGCTCTGTCCGGCTCTCCGGCCAATCTCTGTGCCTATTCGGCCGTCCTCAACGTCCATGACCGTCTCATGGGCCTCGACCTCCCCCATGGCGGCCACCTCTCCCATGGATACCAGACTCCCACCAAGAAGATCTCCGCCATCTCCAAATACTTCGAGACGGTCCCCTACCGTCTCGACGAGTCCACCGGGCTCATCGACTACGACAAGCTCGCCGAGCTGGCACTGATCTACCGCCCCAAGCTCATCATCGCGGGTACTTCTGCCTACAGCAGACTGATTGACTACCCTCGCATGCGCCAGATCGCAGACAGCGTCAATGCCTACCTCCTCGCCGACATGGCCCACATCTCCGGCCTGGTGGCAGCCTCCGTCCTGCCCTCCCCCTTCGCCCACGCCGACATCGTCACCACCACCACCCACAAATCTCTCCGTGGACCCCGTGGCGCCATGATATTCTTCCGCAAGGGCCTCCGCCGCACTGACGCCAAAGGTAACAAGGAGTTCTACGACCTTGAAAACCCCATCAACGCCTCTGTCTTCCCCGGCCACCAGGGGGGCCCTCACAACCACACCATCACCGCTCTCGCCGTGGCCCTCAAGCAGGCTCAGACCCCTGCCTTCAAGCAGTACCAGACAAACGTCCTCCGCAATGCACAGGCCCTTGCCGCCCGTCTCGGAAACCCTACCTCTTCCGGTGGCCTGGGCTACAACATCGTCTCCGGCGGCACAGACAACCACCTCGTCCTCGTCGACCTGAAGAACCGCGGTGTCGACGGTGCCCGCGTCGAACGAGTCCTCGAACTCTGCGGCGTGGCAAGCAACAAGAACACCGTGCCAGGAGACAAGTCCGCCCTCAAGCCCGGCGGTCTCCGCATGGGCACGCCGGCCATGACATCCCGCGGCTTTGCAGAGGAAGACTTTGCTCGCGTAGCCGACATCGTCGACCGTGCCGTCACCATCACCCAGAAACTCGACAAGGCCGCGCGCGCCCACGCCGAAAGCAACAAGCGCAAGAACCCCGGCAGCCTCAAGGCCTTCCACGACTTTTTGGGCGAGGGCGAGGAGGTTTCGGAGATCGTACAGCTCAGACAGGAAGTCGAGGACTGGGTGGGTACCTTCAGCCTTCCATGGACCGATAGCGAGTAAGCCACCCGGTAAGCAGAGCTACTCCTCAACGAATGACGAGCAAAAAGATTATCCTTTTGTTACCCCCCTGTTTTTTTTTATGTATATTTCAACAATGGCTTTTTGTACGGATGGTTCCTGCTTGACCTTGCTATTGTATTTCAATGATATCCCTGGTTCAATCAAACTAAACCGCAAATAACATAGAAAATAACTTTCTTATCAAGTCCGATCTACCCCGTAGATACAAATAATGAAACATAAGTAGAAACAGTAATCATCTCTCATATCTACGCACCGAAATGTTCAACGAATTCGACCAGGAGCTCATGAACCCCCCCTTACCTATGGAATAGTAACTCATAATCATACAACATTCCGTCCGGACGTTGCTGTCCGTGGGAAGATGAAGAGGCCATGTTATCAGAGCCATACCGACTCTAAAGGGGTATGCTGAGTACGACATTAGATCGGAGCTACTCATACTCGAACTGAGAGGCTGGAGACGGTGGTGAGTGATACCAAAGAGTAGGACGTTGTATGGCTGGCTGTGATGACCAGCGGAATAGGGGGAAGGGGTTAAGTTTACCAGGCAGCAGACAACAGCGAGACAGTTGCAATAAACGGATGCTCCATCAGTTTGTCATTCCTGGCCATTCTATTTGCGTGTGCGTATTAGTATATCTCCATATACAAGGTAAGATCGAGTAACTCACGGAGAATAGTACGCTCAGCATTGATCTTGGACACCCTCACGGCGTCACCAACTTGAATGACAGCAGCGCCATCGCCCTTCTTCTGGTGCAGGAAGCCATACCGTCCAAAGACAGGACTGTACTTGGTCCCCTTGTCGACCCGTCTGTCCTTCATCAGCTTCTTAAGCACGGTCCCGGCCTCTCCTGTGTGCGGTGCCCCGGTATCAAGATCAACATTGATACTGACACAGCGCACACAGTTATTCCTCAGCTGGACCCTGACATGCTCTCCCACCGTCAGCTCTCCCCAGAAGTCCTCCTCGAACGCCTCCGGTGCGCCAGACAGGACGATGTTGGGCCTGAACTTGGTCACGTCCATGGCCTCACCCGGCGGCAGACGGGCAGATACGTTGTCCACGGAGGTCTGCGAGACGACGAGGTACGGCGCCATGTCCGCGAAGGTGAGCACCTTGGACGATGCATCTTCCTGTCCGGCCAGGCCAGGCAACATAGGTGGTATCTTGCTTGAGATGGTGGATATCCATCCATCACCAGCATCGGTGGAAGCAGCCATGTTGCCCAGCGCGAACCTCCTGTTCTCTCCTATGTAAGCAAAGACGATCTTGAACCCCAGCCAGGCAGAGAACCAGCTGTTGTACTCGACGCCCATGTCGTATGCCGTCGTCGGGCTACGGTGCATCATCACCTCGAACCGCTTCAGGCTGCTGGTATCTGGCCGCAAGGGGATGCGCAGCTTGCTGCCAACGCCAGACCGCGGATGAGGACCGGCAGCGCCCCTGTAAGTCACCGTTATCCACCCTCTTCTACCATCTTCTTCTTCTTCTTCTTCTTCTTCTTCTTCTTCTTCTGCTGATGGAAACTTGATATCAGTCAGGAAGAGCGCTAGCTGCTGGAACTTGTCGATGTGCATGTTCTGCAGCTGGCCGTCCGGCTTGACCTTGAGCAGCATGAACATCCTATCGTACGGCAGTCCATTGGATGTCACTCTCGACGAGCTCAGCGCCGTCGGGCGCATGGATTTGATAGGATAGACATATATCTACCATGTTGGCTGTTAGAGAGGCGCGGCCAGTTGATTCACATGCCATCCATATGATACATACCTGCGAGACCCGCATACTGACTGCGCTCGACAAGTAGAATCCTTCCTGGCCCTGACAAGAGAGGATGAGAGTTTGTACAGCCTGCCTTCAGCCTTACAAGGTGCACCCTTTATTTTTACACAAGAGAAGTAATCTGAGAGGGGCCGGAGATGCTTCTATAGTTATACGCTGTGCTATGGACAGGGTACGCCCTTGGGTTGACCATGAACCATATTCGGTCTTCTTTGTTCCGCCAACATCTACGCCATATACAACGTCGGAGGATGAATAATAATACATGAAGATGAGACAAGGCAAAACGGCAACCAGAGACAAGAATATCAGAAGATGAAGGGAAAAAGGATGGCGAGATGATCCAGCTTCAGCCTGTTGCAGAGAATTATCTCCCAACCCCCAAGGCAGCAAAAAAGCAACTATGATCTTGAAATTGAGGACGAACCATACCTCGCATCTCCCATTCGGATAGGCATTCCTTCTTATTCGCTGGCCGGGGACCCCCGGACGGTGTGGCTTGCTGGAGCTGAGCTTTGGGCCAGAGTCTTCCTGCTGATGATTAGCCAGCCTGGCCTTGACCAAAGCTGCTTGTTACCCTACCAACTGATATCGACGAGGAGATAGGTTAGAAATGCCACTGCCTCGCGCAGGCTTCCTATCGGCTCGTATCTATTGGCTGCTAACGGGGCTAAGAGATGCGAGATCCAACCTGTCCCCTCCCCAAGTTTCTTCAAGAGCTGGGTATGTGATGGATTGCATGATGGATTACAGGGACGCCATGCCGAAGGCGCTCAATCTCTCGTTTTTTTGGCGGCTGAGGATCCATGGGCTGGATGCGAGTTACTCGGTGACTACACTATCCTGATGCAGTTGGTGGGCGTCTCAATGTTTGGGGGGTATATAAGTCGGCTTTGCCCTCCGGTCTCTATGCCCATGTACACCATATATACCAATATACGACCAGAGCTGACGGGATGGCCACCATGGACGAAGGAACGGAGACTGTGGGTATCGTGAATCCCGGACGGCGTCTAGTGCTCTGTTTCGATGGCACCGGGAATCACTTCAACGGCAATGAATCGGACTCCAACGTGGTGAAGCTCTACCAGATGCTGAACCGACACGACAAGCGGCAGTTTCACTACTACCAGCGTGAGTCTTATATACATTATATTGTCAGGGTTATACTAATAACCTGTTTAGCCGGTATTGGGACATTTGATGTGAACATGTCCAGCGGGATCACACTGTTCGGACGTATACGGTCCAAGATCAGTGAGATCATCGACAAGGCCATAGGGACATCATTTGAATACCACGTCTCCAGCGGCTACCGGTTCCTGATGCGTTACTACGAGCCAGGAGACGACATCTACATATTTGGCTTCTCACGCGGCGCCTACACGGCTCGTTTCCTGGCCGAGATGATCGAGCACGTCGGTCTTTTGTCCATGGGAAACGAGGACATGATCCGATTTGTGTACGGTGCGTTCAGCAAATGGCAATGCATCAGGGGCAAGGAAAAGAAGACGCCCAGGGATGTGGAAGTCGAGGATTATCTGCAGAAGCTGAAGGTGACCTTTTGCCGTAAGGAGGTCGATGTCTTCTTCCTAGGCCTGTTCGACTGCGTCAACAGCGTCGCCACACTCGAGATTCCTTTCTCAAATAAAGCATACAGATACTGCGCACCGGTGAGTCTTGTATAGCGTGGCATCCCCTTACTAATGCGTACATACATGTCTAACGATGATATAGTCACCTGCCAAACATGTCCGCCATGCCCTGTCTATCCACGAGCGGCGTCTGAAGTTCAAACCGGCCCTGTTCACCTTTGAATCCGAGGACACGACGGCCACGGTCAAGGAGGTCTGGTTCGCAGGAAACCACTCTGACGTGGGCGGCGGCTTTGCCTACGAGAACAACTCTCGCTTCCTCCTCTCCGACATCCCGCTGGCGTGGATGCTGGAGGAAGCCATGTCGGTGACGGACGGCCCAGCGGGGCCCCTGACCTTTGACGACCGGCAGCCCGAAGCCCTGAACTGCCTCAAGACCATCGAGGGCATCCTCCAGTCCCGCGCAGAGCCCAACAGCAACCAGGCCGGTGCCTCGGGCGTGGTTCCGGACGGCGAGGTCGTCGACTTCCAGCACCATGACTCCCTCATCATCGGCCGAGGCGCAGGCTGGCATATGACCATCATCTGGTGGTTCATGGGTATGTTCTACTGCATCCTGTCTAGGTCGTGTCTACAAGCTAACGAGATAGAACTGCTGCCGGTCTTCACCCGCCTCGAGCTGGAAGACCACCAGTGGAAGCCACGGTACTGGCCGCCCAACTGCGGTGCCCACAGAGACATCCCGACCGAGGCGACGCTGCATCACACCGTCGAGCAGATGCACAAGGCCGGCATACTGAAGAAGATGCCCAAGCTGGGCGGCGACAAGGCGCCACTGCTGAACGACCCCCTTATCGTTGCCCGCTATATAGGCAAGGCCCTTGCCTTCTGGAGGTGATCTAACGTCGCGATGAAGCTATACAAAGCTGTAAAAAGCTATACGACCCTGGAGGTGCACTTAATATAATGTTTTATTTCTCTTTCGCAGGCTGTTTTCTTGTCTCTCTATATCTACGTGTCGAATATACTTGTATGTGGCGATGAGCTTAATGAAGATAACTTCTACCACAAACTCTGCCCTGAACCAGCCCTTCTTCTTCTTCTTCGTCTGCTTCTCTTCTATACTTCGTCTTCATCTGCTTGTTCTCTTTATATCGTCTTATGTATGGCTGCATGATCTGTAGCACCAGCTGACGGCGCCGTCAAGCCGTGCAACCTGCCGGGCAAAACAATGCCTTGTCTTCTACCCGCAGCCATAACCATCAACATAGCATCTATATCAACGCCTACCGTACTATTATAACTGCTATACCGTCTACTATAATAATCAGCTTCTACAACATCGTCTCTGCGTCATCACTTGGCGCTTCAACGCCACCGAAACATCGAGATTCCACAGCTGAAGCGCCATCTTAAAACTCCTTCGACTTCGCCATCCTTTCAGCTCGCTATAGAAACATCTCACACACGCGAAACAGTGAATATCCTACCGTACGGATACCTGCGACACCTCTCACGGGCCTTCCTATCTGCTATACTCGCATCGGACACCTGCATCCTGCTGCTGGACGCCCAACCGAGGCAGCCGTCGGAAGAGACTCGCATTTGATAGTATCACAGCTCGATACGAGGAAGACCTTTTTAAGAGACCCGGCGCATTCGTGCAGTCGATATCTCGCTTGATACAGACGGCCAGGAGAGACAAACCGTGCTATTTGCGCGGGCGACCAGCAAGCCATGGAGACCCCCTCTGGCCTGCGTCGGAAGGACACCACCAAGGGACCTCCTCTACGCATACTATCATTAGGTGAGTTTGACCAGGCTGAAGAAGAAGAATAAGAAGAAGAAGATAGAGACTAACGGGAGCAGATGGCGGCGGAGTAAGAGGATACTCGATGCTCATTATCCTACAAGAGCTCATGTACCGGACCTATGTCGAATGCGAAGGCAAGGCCCCCCGCCGCGACCAGATCCCCAAGCCATGCGAGCACTTTGACCTGATAGCGGGCACTGGCACCGGCGGGCTCATCGCTCTCATGCTGGGCCGTCTGCGCATGGACATCGAGACCTGTAAGGAAGTGTACATCCGGATGACTCGGCGGGTGTTTGAGACGGACAAGACGATCGCCGGCATACCGTACCGCACCACGCTGTTCAAGGCCTCGAGGCTGGAAGATGCGATACGCCAGTGCGTGCGAGACCATACGGTGGACGAGGAGGAAGGCAACGACGGGACGACGGCTGCGAGTGTGAATCCTTTTATGCGGAGCGGCTATGTGGGTTCGACGGCGACGCTGCAGCGCAGGCTGAGTCGGTCAAGCATTAGCACGACCACCACCTCCGTGCCTACGTCGCCGGTGAGCAATCGAGGGCCCGCACTGGGACATGTCTGGGGGGATCCGAATGCGAAGCTCTACGATAACAGGGAGAACCGTACCAAGACGTGAGTATCTACACATATATGCATATGCTTTGCTGCCTACAGATGGACAAGTCTAACTGGAGTAAGGGCAGTGCCGTGACGGCCGTGTACAAAGGGACGCCAAAGAACGGCTCTTCCGTCCTTCTACGCTCCTACGATTCACGCCGTGAACCTCCTCCGGAGTTCAACTGCACGATCTGGCAGGCCGGACGTGCGACCTCGGCCACCGGACTGGCCTTCAAGCCCATCCAGATCGGACAGCACATCTTCCTGGACGAAGGGGTGGGCAAATACAACCCCAGCCCCCAGATACTCGACGAGGCGGTCGTCAACGAGTGGCCCGGCCGTGAAGTCGGCGTCTTCGTCAGCCTGGGCACGGGCAAACGACCGCAGGGCATGACGGCGCCGGCTCACGAGTGGTGGGAGGACGTCTTTCGAGACTCGCTGGGCAACTTTGCCGAAGCGAGGAGACGGCTGATTGCAAAGATCGAGGGCTGCGAGACGACGCACCAGTTCATGGTGAAGGACCATCTGGTGAAGCGTAACGTGCCGCGGGAGGTCTACTACCGCTTCAACGTCGAGGTGGGCGTGGGCGAGTTTGGGATGAACGAATGGAGCCGGCTGGCAGAGATCAGCACCAACACCCGCATGTACCTGGCGAAGAACGAGGTGCAGCGGATGAACTACGACGCTGCCGTCCGGCTGGCGAGGATCGACCGCATGCATCGCCGCCTGGAGGCTCGCTCTGCTGCCTTTGCGGCGGGCGAGACGCTGGAGGAGCGCAAGAACCGGCCTGTTCCCCCTATCCCCCAGCCGCCATCACCGTCAAGGAAGGACGAGGACGAGAACGAGAACAAGAACGTCTTTGAGCTGCCTGCCATCGAGCTGCCGGCCGACGAGCACCTCCAGCAGAACCAGCAGCAGCATCCGCGGCCAGGCACGTCGCAGAGCTCAACGGCGGTCAGCTTCGCCTCCCACGACGACAAGTTCACCGTCCTCCCTTCAGCCGACGGCGACGGGCTAGGCCTGCCTGAGCCCATCTCTGGCCGTTGCAGCTCCGAGGCCCTGCCCGCCTCGCCCGCCCGTCAGAGCCAGGACAGAAGACCGTCGTCATCCCATCATGGTGACAGCGTTGACGTACAGCCGGCGCGCCCTGCACAACAACCGCCGCCCTTACCGCCCAAGACGCCCATCCCTTACCCCGTCAGCAGCGAGGACGTCCATGCGGCCGCCGTGTCGATGCCCTCGCTGCCTCCGCGCAGCCCAGACAGGCCCGTCTCCGTCTTTGGCTCGCCCCGGAAGTACAGGCTGCCCTACCCAGACGACGGGCCGCCGCCAGTCAACCGCACCAGGAAGCCTACCTATAAGTAGGCGAGGGCAAGCAAAACAAAAAGAATAACAACAGAAAGAGGTAATGATTTAATGTTGCATATTAATCTAATATCATGTCTACTTATGTCTTGTCTTATTGCACTCTCCTGCGAAGGGAATATGTCTACTTACTGCTTCCACTGTCTGCCATTGGTCGACTCTTGCTGTATATGCCTGTAATACTGCTTCGTCCTGTCATCTTCTCTCGTCTTCTTCTTCTATCTGCTGTCGTTGGCTATGGGGCATCTGCAGGTCAGCCCGTACTCTATGCCAATACGAGATCTGGACTTGGGCTCTTTTTATATATCTTCTGACATCCTCTATGCTCGACTATCTTGGACTCTTTATATCTTCTGACATCTACTATCCACTGTCTATTGCGTGTCTGTCTTCGTGGCCGGCGCCCTTGCCTTTTAAACCGCCCCCAAACGGGCCCGAAACGGGCTCTGACCCCTGAAGCCTTTAACTAACTCGACGCTTACTTAGGCTTGCCTTAACTATAACTTAGGCTTTCCTTAACTATAACTTAGGCTTGCGCGCCCCAAAGTTCGCCCCCTAAAAACGCCAGCGCTAAAACCAGCCACTTTTCTTTTCTTCTTCTTCTTCCCCTGCAAATCTCTTTCTGCGACATCTTCATCTCTTCAGCATCTCAGCATCTCAGCATCTCGAATGGAGTGACGGACTGCTGGATGACTGCTGAGCAATTACAGACTACACACTACGGACACAGACGAAGAGATAGAGTTGGCTCCCCTTCCTACGTACCGTGGTTCTGCTCTACCGTTAACCAGCCTCAACCCCCCCCCCCCTTACAGCGGCTACAACGTCAACAAACATCACGGCGAGGACAACGGCTACGTCTATACGCACATCTACATATATATACTCATCTACAGATATACACGACGGCGCACGCAGGCCAGGAGCTGACGCTCCGCAATGTTCGATGAGTCCGTCCTAGTCGCTCGCTCTGGCAGCCCCCTGGGGTCGCCCGACTCCCGTCCACCAGCGTTCAAGGCCGTTGGCATCGCCCTCGCCGTCTCCTCGGGCCTCTTCATCGGCATCTCCTTCGTCCTCAAGAAGGTTGGCTTGCTCAAAGCCAACATCAAGTACAACGAAGAGGCCGGCGAGGGATATGGCTACCTCAAGAACGTCTACTGGTGGGGAGGCATGTCCCTGATGATCCTGGGCGAGCTCTGCAACTTCATCGCCTACGCCTTTGTCGATGCCATCCTCGTCACTCCCCTGGGCGCGCTCTCCGTCGTCGTCACCACCGTCCTCTCCGCCATCTTCCTCAAGGAGCGCCTCAGCTTCGTGGGGAAAGTCGGCTGCGTCAACTGTCTCATCGGGTCCGTCATCATCGCCATGAACGCTCCCACGCAGTCGTCTGTGGCCAATATCCAGGACATGAAGCGCTACTGCCTCACGCCTGGCTTTCTCTCCTTTGCCGGCGTCATCATTGTCGTCTCCGCCTTTCTTGCCATCTGGGCTGGTCCCCGGTACGGCAAGAAGAGCATGTTCGTCTACCTCACCATCTGCAGTCTCACCGGTGGACTCAGCGTTGTGGCCACCCAGGGGCTCGGAGCCGCCATCATTGCCCAGATCATGGGCACCTCTCAGTTCAAAGAGTGGTTTCTCTGGGTCCTTCTCATCTTCATCATTGGCACCCTCCTCACGGAGATTATATACCTCAACGTACGTTGGGGCTTCGAATATCATCTTTATTTACGATTTTTTACTGACTTTGGCATGTAGAAAGCGCTTAATCTGTTCAATGCCGCCATGGTGACGCCTACATACTATGTCATCTTCACCAGTGCCTGTATCATCACCTCTGCAGTGCTCTTCCAGGGATTCAAGGGAACCGCCATCAGCATCACCACCGTCGTCATGGGCTTCCTCCAGATCTGTACCGGAGTCGTACTCCTTCAGCTATCCAAATCCGCCAAGGACGTCCCCGATGCCGCAGTCTTCAAGGGTGATCTCGACCAGGTGCGTGAGGTCGCCGAGCAGGAAGAAGGAGAGATGGAACCCAAGGCAGACGCCATCAGAGGAACAGCTGCCATCATCCGTCGCATATCAACCCCTCGCCAGAAGATGGAGCAAGAAGAGATCAGGCGCTTCCACATGGACCAGAGACTCGACGAGCTCGAGCCCGTCAGCGAAAACGAGGTCATCGAGTGGGACGGTCTTCGCAGACGACGGACCACCCTCGTGAACGGCGTGCCTGCCACCAGCCCCCGTCGTAGGGTCCAGCACCCCCCGCTGGGCATGTCTCGCTTCCCGGATTACTCTGAGCCAGAAGTCAGGACTCCTCAAGAGGGCCTCGATGGTTCCTTCATCGGCAGCATTCGTAAACGTGCTTCGACCGCTCTACACCCTTACTGGAGACCCAGCGGCACCATCTCCCCGCAGCCCATGGAAAACGATGGCCGTCTCGACTCGCCCAGGTCGATGCCTGAACGGCCCTCTGAGTCTGACCCCTTCACCCGTCACGAGCTCCTCCAGGCATTCCAGTATAACAAGGCCATCCGTCGTCCACGAAGCGAGACCATCGACTCCGTAATCAACGAAAAGGCCAGGAAGGAAGAGAAATCACCCCTGGTTGAGGAAAGCAGCAATGGCAGCAGCGAGATTAAGGAGAAAACAGAGTCGAGCAGTCCCCCTCCTACGCCTCCACCGCATAGAGCCCACCGACAGTTCTCTTTCAACGTCTTCCGTCGAAATTCCTCCTCCGCTCCGCCGGCGGAGCGGCTAAGCACCCCTACAAAGACACCGCATCTGCACCTCCCTCACTTCATTCCCCATCACGCCTCCCATGCCAGCAGCAACTCCAAGCGGACCACAGAGGAAGAACTACTCGGCTTCTCCTCAGGTGACAAGGGCAAGACTCGCTCCCCTTCACCTCCAGCCAACAAATCCCGCCCCGACAAGGTTACAAGGCACTCACACGGCAACTCCTCAGACTCTCTCCGCCATGTCCTCTCCGCCTCCTCTTCCTCAGAAGGTGAATCTTCAAACGTCCCCTCACCATCTCAGTCCGAGCTTCAGTCCCAGTCCCAGTCCCAGCAACCTCACCACCTAGAGCCCATGCGTCCATTGACGAGCGAATCAGAGCAAGATAACCGTGGAACTGGCCCTTCAGACTCAACATGCTCGTTCCCCAAATTCGACACCTCGAGCTTTCCTCTATCAGCCATGACCTCTTCACCCGAAGAAGCAAGGAGAGGACGCAAAGAGCGACGAGGAAACATCAGACAGAGCTACGACGGCGCCCTTAACGACTCCAAGGGCACAAAAGAAGGCCCAAGCAAGAGATGAAATTGATGAAAAAAGAAAAAAGAAAATTGCATTGCTGCGTTCTGGTTGCCGCAATTTTGCTCTTTACTGGCGTTTTTGTTTTCAATAATGCTCACGCTGCAGTTGAGCATTCCATACCTTTACGACAGGCCCGTTGACTTACGGCCCGGTCCGGCCCTTGTGCTTATTTTTTGACGGTCTACTTTCTAACTTCTTTGCCTTCCCCCTGTTTGTCTTATTCGCTTTATTACTTATCTTGCAAAATGTACGGAGTATGTAGGGAAAGCCATTAATATGCGGCTCGGCGTGGCCTCTGGTCTTTTGTTATTTGTTTTTTTGTCATCTTATGTCTATACTCTTGCCTGCCTTGCCCTGCCCCGTCCTATTCCGGCCTGCCCGCAACTCCTTTTGTACCCTTTTAATGGATGCATTTCAGCCCGCTCTCCTTGCACCAGAGACGTTATTCAAGTTATTGTTAATCGTTTTATGCGCTTGTTTGCTATCATGTTGATGGATGACTTGTTGTTCCTGTTCTGGTTTGATATTTGCAACTTTGACCTTGACTTGACAATGGATGTTTGCCTTGACCGGCGGTGATAGTATAATGATGTCGACGAGGATGATGATGTCTTTTTCCGGCGGGCTCACTGTCTTTATAGATGGCCGATGCGATAGACACACAAACCAACGGGTATCGGTGATTAGAACAATTTGAATATATAGAAGAACATTAAGGCACTATTCACCCTTTCGTCATGAAATCTAGCACGCTCTTCTGCCTTTTCGAAGCAATATGTACATTCGCGAACCTCGCTTCAGGCAACCGGCATCCAGCCTTGATACTCTCTAGCACCCTATACCAAATTGGTGAGCCGATCTATACCTGCAGGAGAGAAGGGAGATACTAACCACTCAACGCCAACAAACTTAACACCCATACCACCAACGCGGGTTATCTCACGCCGCATCTTCCCAGCTGCAAGACCTCCTCCAGCACCAGCGCTGGAACAGGTACTATTACCCTCTGTCTCCCCGTTAGGGCAACCGAGAATGACGTGCGTGACACTCCTCCTGGCAAGACCAATTGATATCTTCGCACCATGGTCTATAAGGGTATTTTTCAACTTGTGGTCTGATATCAGTGGCATGGTGGAGCCGTTAATATATATCGTTAGATTGGCGAATATCTGCTTATCCTTCCGTTCATGGGTATCATTAACCTCCTGTTCCTGTGTGGATGTATCATTCGCTTATAAAACCGTTAGTAGGCCATATCTTCCGTCATGATGCTGGCGCCAACTCACTCGTACGATCATATCGTTCATCAAAGCATACTGCCCCTTTACTCTGCTCCAAACTCATTACAGGGCCACCATCCGCGACCTGCCCCTGTCCCTGCCCCTGCGTATGAGGCCCCTGCTTCATACTCAACCGCTTCACAAGCTCATCATCTTCAATCTTCCTCTTCTTAACACCGCCCATCAGATGGCGAATATCTCCGTTCCCATCATTCAATGGTCCACGTTTCTTGCGTCCATCTTTATCCAGCCATGCCCATTTGCCGGTTTTAGCAGCGTGGTTTCCCCCCCTGCCGTACTGTGCTGATAGTTTCTGGCTCCTCACTTGGCTCCAGCCCGAGGAATTAGTTTGCTTTACCTCTGCGCGCTGATGGCCTGTTGACACGGAGTTCCAGGCGTCGAATGTTTCGAGGGCAGTGGTAGATGGTATGCTGAGAATCTGGCGTATGGATGGGGATATATTTGTATCTTTAGAGGGCATCTTTAGCCCTTTATACGATACCACAGGCCAGACTCGGCTCTCTTTACAGAGTTCTTCTTTTCACCCCTGGAGCCCTCCTGTGGTCTGTCTGATATTGTATGCACCGCGATTGTTGTCTTTTGCCCCAAACCAGCTTAGTCTTTCTTGCAGCAAGCCAGAATCACCTGCAGCTCACGTGATGCTTAGCCGCGCTTATCAAACTTTCTTATATCAGATGAAAGAGAAATGAAGACGTAGATCAAGACGGAAGATGGAAAGAGAGTCGAGTAATGTAAGGAGTAATGTAAGAAATTAAGATTTAAAAATAAGATAATCTGGCTACTGCTACCCTTGTTGGATGGAGACCTTGGTTTGACATCGATCCCTAGGGGCATACTCGTAGTTCCAAAATGTACCGACTAGAGAAGGACAAGAGCAAAAAGTAGGAAATTCGTGTCATATCAGGTCATTAGAAACGAAAAAAGGAAATTTTTTGGGGAGCTTTCAAGGATGTGGCGGGAGGTAAGGCAACAAACGTACGGACAGAGAAAAATAAGAAGCAACAAAAAGAATCAGCGAATTGTATAAGAGGTCAAAAAGAACGGAAGAGAAGCGAAGAAAGTAAAAGCCGTTGCTGTCAGCCGTAGGAGTCACATCAAACCACATTTCAAGGGGGCAGTAAGCAATCATTCAACTTTAGATACCGGCAACGCAACATATGACGCAGATAATTCACTCCGAACCAAAGGAAAGTAGCTTTGCAATGGGATGTCAGTTTAGTTAGCAGAGGGGAGGTCAGGTTCAGGGTCATTATAAAAACACATGTAGCACGTCGGCTAAGTAAGAGCATAAAAGGTCCCTAGGTCGGGAGCAGGCGCGGTTCGAGAGAGCAAAAGGTAATATAAGTAGGAGGGATCAAGTATTCCGCTCCTAGAGGACAAGACAGGCAATGGCCAAGTGAAGAAGATAAAAGTAGAGGCAAGAATAGAATTGGAACGAAAAAAAAAGTCAGATAAAAAAGATAAAAAGATCACTAAAACTCCTGATGCAAGAGATATGAGAAGCAGATGAAAAAAAAAAAAAAGAAAATCGACTGGTGGGAGGATGCCTCCCATTTCAAACAAGCGGACGTTCGAAGAGGATGGCGGCGGTAGAGGAATGAATATGCACACCTCCCCGTGGTTCCAAGAGCAGGGAAGAGCGGCATAATTCAATGAAAAGAGGACAATGCCAAAATGGCGGAGGTTGACGGCTAAAAAAGTTATAACGGACTCGATGTTTTCGCTGACTGACGATGACGCTGACATTGCTGCTTCAAATCGATGCATTAAAAAAACATGGCGGGTAACGTTTTCTTTTCAAAACATGCAGCGGACATTTGGCTTGATGGATGGGTAACACTCGCTTTCGTTAATCGGTCGTTAGGGATATAATTTCAAACGCAGCTTTTTTTCTTTTTTTTTTTTTTTGTTCCAAGGGTGGGTTATCTTTTTTGATTTGGGGGATAGGCTCGTTATTCGTTGAAGTTCAGGGGAGTCGTGTCGTGTCGTTCATTGGTATGTCATGTCAATTGATTTAAGGACAGTGGACGAAGTGGGATACGGGTGTTCTTGATTTTTCTTTGTTCACGTTTATATATTAAATCCATGCCAGGTCAAGGACACATCAATTCGTTAGCTTTTTGCCGGCCCGCCCGCCAAAGTTGGCAAAGGGAGCGGGTCTGTATAGTATTGGGTTACAAGCATGGCTGCTCGGATGGTCAGATTCTTCTTGGAAAATTGCCGGATTGTACGTTTTGTAGGCTGATGGAAGCAGGTACAATGGGACCGGCGCCGGAGTCGACCAGTGTTTTCCTACGCTTGTGTTCGTAAACAGAGTCTTCGCCACGGCTCTCGGAGCGAGGGATAGTCTCTACGTCGTCGTCGTCGCGGCCACGCTTGCTTGATCCGTTGATGGAGGAAGAGTAGCCCGGTGTGCTGGCTGAGGCGGAGTAGGCATCCGGGTATGTTGCGGTGCCTGCATTGTTGGCAGGGGAATTCCGGGTGTCGCTCATTACGCTGTAGACGCTGCTTGGAGCTCCTGATCGAGGTGTGTAGGTTGATGGCCAGGTGCTCGAGGAACGTTTGTCTCCGTTCTGGTGGGGAGGAGCAGCCATCTCTGACGGTAGAGGGGTGTGTTCGCTGGGCATTGTGCCAACAGCTTGGGTGGATGGGTAAGCTGGATAGGAGGCACGGTTGGAGTTGTATGTTCCGTTGGTGCCGTTAATGTATTCACCCTCAGTGGTTTGGTGCTGCTCCGTGGATTCTGGTTCCGCTGTCGTAGCACCCGTTGACCCATTCACCTGACCGTTTCCCTGGCTAATTTGATTGGTTAGTTTATATAGAGTAAAATAAGTTGGAGTATGCATTTTCCATACCTAGAGATACTCTGTTGAGAGACAGGCTGCTGTGAGGCGTAGTGCGATTGTGTGGGGGGAGCGGAGGAGTAGTACGCCTTGGAGTCACTGTAGCCGGACTGGCCTTGGTATGCTTGCATGGCGGACATGTTTGCACCTGGAGGCGTGGTAGCAGGTGTGGTTGGCATCGACCGTGTGCCATTCATTCCAGACTCGAGGGGAAGCGCCTGGGAGCTCTGGACGCCATTTGACATGTTCTGACCGTTCCACTCGTATGAGCCAGCTTGGTTGGGCATACCGACAAGACTGGAAGCGCTGGTAGGAGGTGTGGGAAAGGTATGGGCGCGGTCGAGTGGTGGACGGCCGGGCATGGGGTGAGGAATTGTGGCGAGAGACGATGGCTGAGGCATGTGTGTAGTTGTTGGATTTTGCATCGAGTGGTGATGGTGTAGCGGTGGAGGGTGCCCGCCAGGACCTGGACGTCCCAATGGCTGGCTGCTCTCGATACGTCTGCGATCTGAAGCCGTGACGATGGCATTGGCGCGGTTTTCATTCACAGGGTGGTATAGCAGGCTTCCAATGGCGTGGACGAAGAGTGGATAGAGCTGGTCCGTGATCTTCTCCTTATTAGCAAAGTCCAGAGCGCGCTCAAACGGTATCCTAAAATAGTCAGTCCATATTCCTCCGATGCTATATGACGAAGAACTACATACCACACGCCCTTTAGATGCATGGGTCCGATCTTCACTACATGTCGAATCTTTTCACTTTTCAGGATGCCGTCTCTCCTGCCTCTTGTCATTCCGGCAACGTTTAGCAGCTTTGTGCCGTTGATCATATGGGTTGTCTATTTTGATGTTAGATAATGCCGGGGGAAAAAATTATAACCCGAAAGCTACTGAGATAACTGACCCTCCCTGCGAGCGACACACACTCCCTTGGCCTCGACTTGGAAACAGAGACTGCCTTCATCCTCCCACAGTGTGGCCGTGACACGAGGCTTCACTCCTGGTGGTGCTATCTGACCGGTCGTGTCGAAAGTCTGGGACGAGTAAGGTTGAACCTGACCCGTAGAATTCGGTACATAGCCATGAGAGTTTGAAGCCGTGGAATTTAACGCTATTTAGTCGGTTAACCCAACATATTTTAATAATTGATATAAAAAGAACGAAACACGAAGGGTGAAAAAAAAAAAAAAAAATCTTACGAGGAAGTGGCAGTATCTGAGCGGGACCCTGACCGTTCAGTGAATTGTGCACTGGTTGGTTGTTGGGTGGCGAGGTGATGCCGTTCGAGTACCCGTACTGTGGGTAGCTATGCGAGGGGGGGTAGGCCGTGGGACCCGGCTGGAGTAAGGAAGGTTGTTGGTACTGGGAGTAGTGCGAGATATTCTCAGCAGCCGTCCCTTGCGAGTATGGCTGCGAGGAGGCCAAATGCGACGATTGCACATCCATATAAGGCTGTGTCTGGTTCATGCTTCCAGCCGAGTGGACGATCCCGCCAACTCCTACGCCAGCACCTACACCGACACCCGCGCCGTCTGCAGCGATCGAGGGAGGGCTCTTGGCCTCGCAGCTGGCCTGAGAGTAGCTCGAGAGGCTGGTGGCCGAGTCCTGATGCGAGGAGGCAGAGGTGGAGGGCGAGGAAGAAGGGGAAGAAGAGACGGCCGGAGCAAAGGAAAGCGCTGGCAGCTTGTCGCCAGAGAAGAGAGGCCGTTCTGTAGCGTGGTGGTTATACCAGGGAAGATCCACGGCGCTCCGGGTGTGAACCTGGGAAATCGACGGTAGCTCCAGCTTTTCAGACTGAAGGGGGAATTTCCAGAGAGGATGTTCAAAGGTTGACAGTCAGAATCCAACTGTCAATTGATCACGTTTCTTTCCTTTCTTTTCGTCTTTTCGTCTCTTGCTCTCGGAAGAGTAGATGTTGATGCTATGGGTAAACCCGAAAGAGAACAACTCAAGCAAACAGATCTAGGCAATGGACAGTAAATATAATCGTGAACGTGAAGTCGTAACGTCGTGGAAGTCACTCTCTTCTTTTTTTTGTTTTTTTCTCACTCTCTTCTTCTCTTCCTTTTCCGGTCTGAGATTTCTGGTTTTGGTTGTCTGCTCAAATGCTCCGTCTATGAGATGTTACTACTTTGTACTTCTCAACGGCCAACGATATCTATAAGAAGGGTTAGAAATAGAGGCTCTAGAGATATATGTAGACGCACAGCAAGGAGAAGGGAGCATGCAGGAAAGGACATGTACTCTGGGGCGAGCGTGTGTGTGAGAGAGAGGGACGGGCAAACCGACTTGGGGAGCAGCAGAAGCAAAGAGCGAGACTGCAGCCAGGGTCATGGACTCGTAAATAGAACAGATGCAGATACACAACCCATGCAGATAAAGAAGGAGAAAAGAAAAGAATTAAGAGAGAGTCAAGAGTCAAGTCAAAAAGGCAGAGAGGAGGAAGAGGAAGAATAAGAGAGAAGATGTAGATGTAGTAGAAGTAGTAGAAGTAGTAGAAGTTCAACGCGGTGGAGATCACATTACTTGCTTATCCATTTCTTTTCCGTGACCTTTTTTTTTTTTTTCTCTTCTTCTTCTTCTGCTTCTGCTTCTTCTGCTTCTTCTATTATCTCTCTCTCACCTCTGTTCTTGTCTCTTCTTCTGCTGCTTTTCTTCCTCTTTGGCGCCTTTTTTTCTTCTTTTCTTTTTTTCTTTTTTTCTTTTTTTTTTTTGCTTCTTCCACGGGCG